GTGGCCAAGCGAGGCTAGAATACTCGGAGGCGGCTTTCAGAAAAAAGTCCCGGCGTCAAGGGGTTAAATACATGTGATGCTCTTGGCCTTGTGGTTTCTGCTTCAGCAACTCCGGGACGTCTTGTGGATCACCTGGAGAACACCAAAGGCTTCAGCCTAAGAGCCCTGAAATACCTGGTGAGTTGGACTGGACTTGATGCCAAATTGCCTGCTACTGTTCTCCTGTGAAGTGCAAAGACATGCACACATGCGGAAACAAAGCATGGTATTTACCACGTCTCAGGGTTTGATTGGTGAAACACAGAATTTTCATAGTTGCAGTGGATCATAGATCGGTAAAACTTGGAATATCACAAGCTTTCAGAAGATCACAAGTTTCATTACAACATTTTACGGCACTGTGGTATATGGTTGTGTATGCTTGCATTTAAACTTCAAAGGATGTAGTCAATTAAAGCGATGCTAAATGCTTAGCGTATAAAACCTAGATTCCATTCCTTAGTGAAATAGTACCAACCTTGTCAGTGCCTTCGTGTCCACGGTATATAAGACTATTACAAAGCCATGCAGTGTCTAATCCACTCATATAATACCTGAATAAGTACGTGTCATCTGATTGACTTGGTATATTGAATGGTGTGACTGTTGAATGTACCTTGGACATACAGTAGGCGTGGTTGCATCTCTTCACACAGGCAAAGAATGCTGTCGCATGTGGGGGGGGGGAAGCACAGTCGTGGCTCAGTATACAATTAGACAAAATTTCTATTCCTGCTGAGAATGTGAAAACTTTGTATCACCTTTTTATGCCAAATTGAGAGAGTGAAACAATTGCATATATTAGCAAGGGGGATTTATTCGGGCATTGTCAATGAATATTTCACATTCAAGCAGTGGAACGAATTTCATTAGTTGGCAGATTGAATGTTCCCTTTCCGCCTTTCGATCTGTTGCCTCGTTAAATTATCTACACCATTTCACTCATAAACTCATCATTTGTAAACTATCTTTCTATAGTATTACCCAGCATTGAGAATATACTGTGCTTGATATACCAAGCTCAATAAAGGGCATATCCAGATATTTCAAATGTTACTGAAATATCGTCTCATTTTTGGAAGGTCATGGACGAGGCTGATCGCATCTTGAACATGGATTTCGAAGCAGAGCTTGACAAGATCTTGAAAGTCATTCCCAAGGAAAGACACACATATCTCTACTCTGCAACTATGACGAAAAAGGTACGGCAACGTTGGGCTCAATTCCACCGTCTTAAAAAATGAACGAGAGTGGGATTGGAACCTTGGACCTCAACAATGGTGCACAGGTGATGTACCCTGGGTCTCCTTGCGTATTTTGTTCGTGGTCTCAAAAGAACTTATTAGACCCACGTGTTCACATTTGCGCATCAGGACAAACTTTCCGCTTCTGTCAAACTGATTTGTAAAGTTTGTCTGGCTTGTGACTGCTTATTTACTGGCTGGTTTGGCACGCTGAAGTCAAGTTTAACTTGGAGTACATTTAGAATGGCCCTCGACACATCTCCTGATGTCATGTTTCAGGTTGCCAAACTACAGCGGGCCTCATTGAAAGATCCAGTCAAAGTGGAGGTTTCCAGCAAGTATGACACAGTGGAGAAACTACAGCAGTATTATATCTTCATACCAGCCAAGTATAAGGTGAGCACGTAGGATGAGTTTGATAATCTGTTTCCGTGGTGATTGAAGGGGCACCGTGTGCCTAGTGCTGTAAGAGCTTTTCTGTTGTAGTGAAGTACATTTCGAGTTCCAAAATCTACTGCCAAATGTGGAACTGGTTAGATGTGAGCAAAGCCAGGGAATCTGGATATTGGATAGTATATGCACAATCGTCTTGATTACCAATTAGATTTAAGACTTCAGACTCTAACACTTTTGTTAAAAAAATGTCAGTCTTACATGTATAAAGAAAAGTACTCAAAAAGCACTCGGCCAAGCAAGCACTCTGTAAACGTTCTTAACTACTTGCTGCCGGGTAGTTTGAAAAATGCAGTGCACATAATCGGGACATTTTCAAGATTTGCAGTTTTCAAAATTTTTCAAAAATTCATCATTTCAATTAATGGATGTTTACACCCACACAAAGTACTGTCTGGTGGCTACTCTAATCAGACAGACAACATCTATTGACGCCAGAGTATTTCAGCCAGGCCTGCAGCCTTGTTAAAAGAGCCCAGATTGTGTGGTGTTATGTAAATGTCTTTTGTTCACAAACCTGGCGCAGTGTGCTGCTGACCTCTTTTCAATAGGGGCCTGATTAGCGTGCAGCGGTGCCGTGTGGCTCATCACTGTGATGGTGGAGCGCTTTTGTCCCCGTTGGTAATTCGCTCGCACTCAGTGTCCCAAACCATGGTTTACTGTTTCAAAACAAGACTTGATTATCTCCACTATTGAGAGTGAAAAAATGTTGGTAATGCCCAGCAGCCTGGTCTTTTGTTCCGAGTGCGGTCTTTTGTTACAAGGCCCAGTTCCCTTTGTCCGATTTCAGAGACCCTAGCCACGTGTATAAAGCATACGTGTCTGGTACTGGAATCCCCGGTGGTAAGTGGTTAAGCTTGCTTTTAACCCTAAAAGAGGGGAGGAATCTGTCCCCTCCCCCGAACATTTTTCCAATATCTCCGCTGTGCATTGATGTGTAGTGCCATGCTGTTCTACACAGCACAAATCCTCTTAATAACTTTCATTCCAGAAACCTCTAAATAAGATTGTTTGGAAAATTTTGTTGTGACATCATTTTTAGGATTGCTACCTAGTGTACATTTTGAACGAGTTGGCTGGCAACAACTTCATGGTGTTCTGCAGTACTTGCAATAACACACAGCGTGTGGCGCTCATGCTGCGCAACCTAGGCCTGACAGCCATTCCTTTGCATGGGCAAATGTCGCAGGTACGTCTTCCATGTGTGAAGGTTTGGACCAACCTAAACCCTCCAACGTATTTGGGCTACAAGACCAATTGAACACTACAACCAGTGAAGTAATCCAGTCCAAAAGTCTGTCACGTGTCCATCACAAGTTTTCATAGTCAGTAGTCAGGTTACTAGCAATTGAAATGAACTATAACCAAAACATCCCTTGGCATTGTTCACCCTAGAGTGACTGGACTTGTAATGGACTGAACATTGACAATCATGAATCACAAGAATAAAGTGACAACAGTTTTCCTTTCGAAAGGGAATTCTGGGTTGCAGAAAACCTGTAGTGTGTAGGCACCTAGTAGTGTGTGTTTATGTAAAGAAATAGTGTACGATTCTTTTGTCACAGTTGTTATGATTTTTTACCTTTGTTGATACAAATTGTATGGGAAAAGTGTTTGACAACAGAACGTTCATTTCACCTCCACTATGTGACGCACACAATAGAGGTGAAGTTGATAATTCATTAACGCACTTTCAAAGATCAAAAATATAATTTAACATTTGTTAAAGTTCCCCATATGATGAGAATCTTGAAACTGAAAACTTGTGGCTTGAGCAGAGCATTTCTTCAAATTCTAAAATATCTGATATGTACCCCCGTTGCACCCACAGTCCAAGAGGCTTGGAACGTTGAATAAGTTCAAAGGGAAGAGCAGATCCATCTTGATTGCAACTGATGTAGCCAGCAGGTAAGTGGTTCTCATCAGCTCGTCGAGCTTTGTAAGTACCTTGCTCCCTAAATATGAGACTGAAGCTACCGATTCTTGTGGAGAAATATTCAAGTTAAACTTTTTGAGAGTCATAAGGCCCTTTTATAGAGTGTAGGTTACCAGGCTCTTCCAGCAAAATCCCCCCGGACCAACTAGGAGATTGTGAATGTAAGAGTTCGTATCTCATGGGTTGAAAGACCTGATGTACGTCGTGTGTTTGTGAAAAAAATTATTGTAAGAAATAAAGATTAAGCAGTGTTGCATTTACAATCCTTCCTTTCCAACATGGATTGTTAAAAAAAAAATCCTGTACTCTTATTTCCCAAACCTCAGGGGGCTGGATATTCCGCACGTTGATGTCGTCGTCAACTTCGACATCCCTACGCATTCGAAGGTGAGAGACTGCATTCACTTTAACCGCACAATGCTTATCATCTTCTTATCTTCGTACGCAAGGTGTCCCTTTCTCCCGCAAATTCTCGATATCAATCTTTTTCCTCTCTGGGTTTTGCTGTCATTTTGTAATTGGGGAGACATTTCCAAAATCTACACCTGTGAAACTTTGCGCACATACATTGTAACTTTTAAAGGAGCAATGTAATAATTGTCCGGAAAGTGTGGACAATTTTTAATGTTTCAAAACTTTACGCCACAGGAATTTCAAACAGTTTTCATACCGTGATACCTACAAAGATGCACAAAAAGTGAGTCTGAGAAAAACTAATTGCATGAATCCTTTAAACACAGGCAGAGCTGTTCGTCTGTGTAATTTAACCCGTGGCCAGTTAAAGTTCTGAGTTTGAGGGTGCAGCACTTTCACTGATGCACTCCTTGCGGTTCACTTTGGGCCAAAAACCATGTAAGACTAATTTTTCACCATTAATGCTTCACACATTGAAGTTGCAAGCTCCTTTTTTTGTGCTGGCTTAACACTTGTTTTTTTCCCACATTATTTCTGGCTAGGACTACATTCACAGGGTTGGAAGGACCGCGCGAGCGGGCAGGGCAGGAAAATCCATTACATTTGTGACACAGTAAGTCAGACCATCCATGTAAAAATTACTCTCTGATTACTGAAATGCTAATTCGTCATTAGTTTTGAAATGTTCATGATTCTCTGATTTAGGGCTGGTTAACATGGACGAGCATCAAAACAAAGTGTTGACAGAAAGCCTTATGTTACAAGACATTTTTATCCGCGCACAAGAGGGAAACTCACAGTGTATACCAATTAGTGACTTTCTACAATAACGGTAGAGTCCTCAGGAACAATATGAACATATGACCAGGATGTACTGTACCATGCCATGCCAGTGCGTGATGTCATACCTGATGAGACTGTTGATTGGTCAACATGCGCATGTTGCTACCTGCTGTCTCGTTTCTGTTTCTTTGATCGGTCGCTGAGGTTTCCAAACACTGCGATTTATCGCATGGTTTGTCCGGTCTCGATTCAAAGAGTCTCCTAGGAAACCACTGTGTTCATTATTTGTTACTCAACAAAGCTCTGCTGAAGCTCGTCTGACATCAGGATAATTCTACAAGAGACAGAGACATGCAGGAATGCTCTCTGTAAAATACATGTGCACACTTTGATTTGCCACTAAAAACTGTTTGTTTCTGAGAACTGTTCATGTGTCACCTTTATTAATGAAATAAATCATGTGTTTGGCTTGTCTTAAACTGAATGTTAAGACCAGCAAAACACCTATTTATTCCCATGCATAAATACCTTTAAGTCAGAGAGTCAAAACAAGTTTTAAAATTACAAATTTCCTGCGATTTCATGCTACAGGTTTACCCCTCCCGAGCCATGTTATAAAATACTCCTCTCAAGAGCTGTCACAAAAGATATATGGCGATTGGTGTGGGCATGGCACGTATTGCTTAGGTGGTGCCAAGCCAGCTGGTGCTTTATATTATCCATGTGATCTGCTCTCAACCAATAGAAATGGTTAAGGTGTCTTATGTAATTATGTATTCAGACTTACAGGTTAAGGTGCAGTTTAAAGATAGGTCAGTTGTGTGAATAACAGAGTTTATCGAGGTTTGTAAATGTATTTGTGTGGTACTGCTTTAGCGTTGAAATATTGACCATTGCGCACAAGATGTCGTGAAAGTGGCTTCTTTGAGCCTATTGCCTGTTGGCGTACTGTTGTGTGAATTGTCCTCACTAGCCTCGTGCTTACCTTCCCAGGTATGACGTGGAGCTCTACCAGCGCATTGAGCAGCTGATTGACAAGAAACTTCCGCTATTCCCCACAGAGGAGCCAGAAGTCATGCTGCTCATGGAAAGGGTGACGGAGGCACAACGCTTTGCTAAACTGGTCAGTCTGTGCTTGGGTTAGCACGAGGTTTTATTGGTGCAAGTGTTGGCAGTAACGAAGGAATCACAGATGACTGGTTAATTATAATCTTCTGTAGTCAGTCGGTTATGCAAAATCTAACAGTCAGTAGCCCTCCAACTGTAATGTTATTCGAACGCTTACAGTAACTAGATATTGGATGTGGTCTGAAGCATTAATTAATCATTGCGCCATTGGTTGATCTTGTGGCACAACCTTTCAGTCCTTCCCGGTGTCACAAATCCCAGCTTGTGAGTGGGGCAGACGGGAGATTACCGAAGTCCGAAAACTGCCCAGTTGCAGAAATTCAAAAAGTGGGGGGGGGGGGCAAAAAAGTGGAGGATATGTATCGTCATATTCCCCTTAGATTTATTTTCCTTGATTCCTGCACTCTCAACCAACCAACCAAATCAATCAATCAATCAATCAATCAATCAATCAAATCAATCAATCAATCAATCAATCAATCAATCAATCAATCAATCAATCAATCAATCAATCAATCAATCAATCAATCAATCAATCAATCAATCAATCAATCAATCAATCAATCAATCAATCACCTTTTCTCTCTAACTGAGTCCTATTTCACAGTCTTGCACGTGCTCAGAACTATGCATGCATGCTCAGAACAATCCGCATGTGCTCAGAACTGGTAAAAGGGACTGCTATGTTTGCTGCCACCAGGGGTGTCAAAGTCTCCCTTTCGTAGGTGTGGAAGAATTTATATTTGGGAGGGGGAAGCAAAGTCCAAGATTTCCAATAGAATCAGTTGATCACTCCTGACGCGGACATTAAGAAAAGTATTTTTTGATAATTCGGCTTGTAAGAGTTGAATATTTTGAACCTTGGTTTGTTTGCCCTCTCGCTGCTGTAGGAGATGAAAGACCTCGAAGACAAGAAGAAGGGGCGTGGCCGGGGAGTGGAGGATGATTCCGAGGATGCTGTTGGCATCCGTAAGAAACTGAAGATATCTCACAGAGGAGGCAAGAGATAGCATCAGCGGACGTTTTGTTTGGTCTTAATGGGGGGGGCAATTTTATAGCACTGCAGAACAGAGAACGTGAAAGTTGTGTTTAATGACAGAAAATTATACTGTCTTAGCTCACAGTGTGGAATGATGCTTACACGTGCATGAAGATTTCTGTTGACACCTCCTGATATTAAGCAAGGTTTCTTGCTTTTGATGTGCTTACAGGTTCATAGCTTCTGTTAAATTGGGCCTCGATTTTAAAAGCAATTTTCCCATTTGACCAGATTTGATTGCTAGCCCGGAGCAGGTGTCTCACAAGCAAAATATCAAATGCGTCATTTACAATTGTAGGTTGAGAGAAGCAGGTTGTGGCTAGGCATTAGCAGGCATGCCCAGAAAGAGGACTGGAATCTACTGAGCATCCCAGTTGGGTGTCTTAAACACGTCCATCCTCGACAGCACCGCATAACATTTGGCCTCTTTGGAAAGTTGTTCATAAACAGCTTGAAGGACATGTATTTTATGATGGGAGTGTTCACTGCATGGGAACTTAACTGTATTTTTTTTTTTGGGGTTTTTTTTCAATATTGAAAATGGCACGAAACCAAATCCTGTGTCTGACAGAAAAACCTTCATATGCTTGCTTGTAGGAAACATTTTTATTCAACCCCATAAGTAGAATGATTAACATCTAATAAAGACTTGTTATGCAAACTCACAAGACCAGTGTTGTCATTCATCCGAATATCTTTGAGTTTTTATTGTATTGTAATCTTTAACCCAAAATGATCCATTTTGGGGGATTATTTGTTATCATATGATATTGGAGAAAATGTGGGGGGGAGATATCCGCCCCTCCCAGCTGTTAGTGTTAACAAAGGTGGCCCATTTTAGCTGGGGATGTGCTTAGGCGTAGCATTTTTCCTCCGTTAGCCTGTAGCCCGACAAACATATTTAGTTTGACAACTAGAGCGGAAAAACAGCATTGACTGTGGGGGGAGGGTTGGTGTTTTCCCTGATTTTTCTGGATAAGTGTGATGATGTAATTCGACAAAAATGCATTAACGAAAGTTCAGGGTTCATGACGACCGGTGAGTCCATGAACGTGTACCCTTGTTTGCCAGACTAAAGATGTTTGATATGCATCATGTACGAGCATGGGAGTCACCCAGTGGGGTCGGGGTACTATCCCATTCCCCCCCTGCCTTTTCTTCCTGACCCAAAAATTAAATGTAGGGGGAGTTGGGCTACATCAGATTCATGTATGCCGAATCTTCTCTCCTATGATTCCAACAAAATGGTTCCAAACCAACGATCAAAATTATTTCCAAAATGAAAGAAACTTTGCAAGAGCATTTGCTAACAAATTGATCAGAAATTGCCAGGGATCGCACCACATAGCATGTTGTAGAACTCAAAATTTCCCGGCTCCCTTTATTAGGCGTACCCCAGACCCCACGCCATCGGGGCTTCATGTTTTGCGTTTGCATTATGTCTGCTGCTACCCCCCCCCTTATGAAAGCAATTGACACCAAGGCAAATGTGTACAAGCAGGAAATACTCTCGGCAATATTTGGCGAGGTTTTGATCCGACCCACAACATTCACAATAGAAAGCCCGTCATTCAGAATCTTTTGAAAGGAACTTTTACAATACTCTGTTGAAATGGACATGAGGCAAACCGTCGGGAAAACGATTTTGAAAAACGGGTCAAAGAGGGGCGACATTTGCTGTGGTATTCACAGACCATCCCTGCTGGGGCCAGACGACGTTTTCCCAGGAGGGTGCTTACACTGTAGACGGCATCCGTCATGGGAAAGGTTTTGGAAGTGTTGGTCTTCCTGGTGCTGTTAGCAGGAGTTGCAAAATCGGAAGAAACGATGCGTTCAGCATTAACACAACCGATTCCGCCTAGCTTCATAGTCATTGTGTCACTCGAAGCCATTGTTACCTGCGTCATCGTCGTTGTCATCATTTTCTTGTGCTGCACTTGTCCAAGCAAACGTCCCGCTCACGATGACGAGGATGAGCAAGTCGGCGGGTGTCAGAGGAAATACGGAAGCCTTTCGGTTGTGAATGGGAGTAGGCCAAAGGCGGATTTTCCAGTCGTCTCGCGGCTCCAGCTGGATTGGGCGGATGGTATCACGACTGTGACCTCCCCGAAGCGCGGCCCGCTGTATGAGACCAAGATCCGAAATATGGACACGCACCCTCATTCAGGTTTCCAAGGGTCACCCGAGGCACATCAGAGCGTGCAGGCATCCCATTCCACGGGCTCTCCGCCCCGTGGAATTAGCCCTCACGTCGTGCCTTGGAGGCCGACCAGCGCAGAAAGCCTTGCTGTTGTGCAACCGCTGTTCGAAGTCCTGGCTCTTACAGCGGGTAAGTTCCAAAGACATTAACTAAAAAAAAAACGAAAATGGACAGCAGTCCTCATTTTTCCTTGAATGTTATCGGTACGAAAGTGATTGTTGTGTGATTACACAGTACCAAAACTTTGAAAGTTCAGGGGCTTGGCATCTCGATCCTAGCAAAATCTGACAGAAGAAGATTGAATACGAAACCCAGAAACAAAAAAGAGGAACCGATATCTAATTTGACAGACCCTTCCCAGTGGGACCTGGATGAGGGTTTATTCTTTAGACACGTACACTTAAGTGTTTTGAGCAACAGCGTAACAATTGCACACAGCTCTTTTCCATCATCGAATTTTTAATGTTGAGACGCAATGGGAGACAGACCTTAAAAAGGGGGCGTTCCTCATAATCCCTTGAAGTCGCGTCATTGACTAAATATAGCGCTCACCCTGCCTTGCAAATCCAAAATGTTACTGTCCTGGCGGAAATGATGAGGACCCCATAATGTAGCAAGGAATTAGATTATAAATAAATTATGTTTAATACGCTAAAATGAAAACATGAAACAGTGTTAAAACGTCCCCGGGTACATCAGAAATAATAAAAAATAGGATTGTCACATAATTATCATACCGAATAAGGAAAAAATAAAAACATAACCAGTCTTCTGCTTTCCATCAGCACGAGACATGACAAGGCCTTCTACACAGCCGACGAGGAGCTGCCGTGGGGGAGAAGAGCATGCATAGGTACGTGGTTCCACCGGCGGAGCGCTGGAGCAGTCAATCACAAATAATCCGAGACATGGAACTACCCTTGGCTAAGGATGGGCTTAAACTCAAGGAGGAGGCACCGGAGGAAGGGGAGTGACTGTAGGTAACAAATTAACAAAATCCGAAGAGGACCAACTGCCCCCAATCGGCAGGAAATGAGGAACAAGCTGAGCCATTATTGCTGCATTGAGAGGTAAAACTGGACCTAAAAGTTTTTGTGGAGGAGGTGTTTTGATGTTTACATCCCGAAACCCCGTGGGTGCCGCAGACTGGTTTCGGCTTCCTCAATTGGAATGTAGATCCCAATCATGGGATGGACTGTAACTAGCCAAAACAAGAATAGAAACATAATAAGCAATGTGGATTGTGTATCTTGAAATTTGTCGAAATTTTTAAGAGTTTTATGTTAACCACGTGAATGTTTCTAATCATATCTAATCATAATTATTTCGGCTCGCTTAGTACATGCGAGAGCAACGTGTGTCTCAACCCCCACCTATTGGGTCCACAACCCATCACCTGAATGACGGAGTATGAAACCTATCGCGTACAAGCACTTACTTACGATGCAATCAGAGCTTATTATCCTAGAAATTTTGCTGGTCTGAAACACGGTTGTGGGAGACTTTAGGTACCATTATTCCGTTGACACCTCTCTGTCATAGCTTGAAAGCATAAGAATAGAGGCACTATTATATACCAAGTATATAGCAAGTTGGACTATTCACCTCTGTAAAAGCTAATTTGTAGAGTTTCCAAATTAGAACATTGCAAGGAGAGAAGCTAGCCCGCTGTGGGATACTCTGGGGCCCTCTATTTTTCGAAGCCATGCACATATAGGTGCCTTGCCTTAGTCACAGAACCGAGTCCTGACCCTTTAAAATATTTAGGTGTATCCGATTCGTATTTACTTAGAAAGGAAAAACGTCAACACAAACGAAAGGGGGTTTCCCACGAGGACCCCCCACACGCAGTTTCGTCCTGGAGCATCAGACGCGGATGGGGGGGGGGAGCTCAGGGCCTCCCGCTGCTCATTACAATTTCTTTTTTTTGGGGGGGGGCTACGTCTAAAGGTTTGAAGATTCCTAAAAAGTTAACCTATGTAGGTCTTATTTTCTGTGTGTGGTTGAGAACTAAACAAAAAAATTAAATGGCTTCACCAATGGCGATGACTGTAGTAACTCTCTCCCCTTGTACGAACAAAAAAAAAACATCCCCCCATGAACTCCTGGACCCACCCCTGCGCATGTCCTTCCTAATAGCATAAATGAGACTATTTTATTATGATGTCTGTTGGCTGATTATTAACTCGGAAATTTTACTCATATCTTAATCTTAAGTCGTCATTACGTAACATGTTTGGAATGGGTAGAATATCAAAGCTCAAAGTCCGACGTTGACGCCATAACGCCCCAATGTCACAATACCAGTCACCATTAAAGAGAGCTTTGATATAAAGGAGGAATGTTTTGTTGTCTTGATTTTTGGACAACGTCAATCCACATTATTTGATTCGTAACTTGTCCATGGATCCACAAACTCCTAAAGAGGTAACGGCACCAGGTGACTCGGAGCCGCCCCCGTACAATCCCTCATGGACTTACCCGCCCGTCGGAGAGAGCGCGCCCGCTCCGTACCCACCACCCGCTGGCTACCCTCCACCGCAGAATGCAGCCTACCCACCGCCAGCACAAGGCAATGCCTACCCGCCTCCGACGAACTACTGTAAGTGTAACAATCCAAGAGCCTATAGTTCTTACTTTGTTGATTAGGGCACTGTATCCGATTTTGTTAGTGTCGTTGGTTTACACATTTCATCCCCTACACCAATGAGGTATACTGATATTGAGACCTGTAGTTCTTTGCCAGTTTCTTCTGAACAACCTTCACAATCCCATCATCTTTCTGGGAAAATGATAATCCTCATATTATGCTCCAAATTTCCACAAGTTTTAACCCCCCCCACCCAAATAAATTTTCTTATTAAACATGCATTTTTAGGAAATGTCAACCATTTTCGTCGATTTTTTTTAATTGATCTTAAAAAATCAGCGTTTTAACCCAAATGTTTCGGACACGCACCATCCGATTTTTTGCCTAGGGGGGTACATTACCAAATTCGGGGGGGGGGCAATGTTTTCCAAAATGACAGGGATGTTAACCTTTTCTCGTCTTTGAAGAAAGGGTTATGTGGGCATGGCCGGCATTGCCCCTATTCTGTCCATGTTTTCTAGGAATAACCCTTCCCTCTCTCGATTACTGTCCAAACAGCAGCCTACCCACCCGGACAAATGCCGCAACCGGCTCAGGTGACCGTGACAACTACCACCGTGCCTCAGTCCACCGCCACCCACCAGATAGTCATGGTCAACACTTGCCCCAACTGCCGGTCCGGGGTGCTGCAGGAGCGCTTCCCGCCGTGTGCGGTGCTGCTCGCTATTTTCTTCTTCCCGCTGGGCGTGTTCTGCTGCCTGGCAATGCGTGAGAGGGTGTGCACCAACTGTAACGCAACCTTCAGCTGAAAGATAGGCGGTCAAGGTCAAGTAGGAGCCTGTGTAGTGCTACGGCAAATCTCGATTCAAGACTTAATAGTGGTGATTGATATTAAATCTTGCACTGGCAGGGTATCCAATATTACAGCGAAATTGAAAAGTATAACAGTAAAAGTCCAGCATGGGTACATGACTTCTTAGTTGGGGCATCCCTTTATAACTCAATGGGGGGGGGTGGTGGCAAGAAGAGGTCTATGGCCAACATTGTGGTCACGTGAATCACAATTAGACACCGACGAAGATTATGTATAAGCCCCAAGCTCGACTAAGAGAGGGCGCAATTTCCTGGCAACGGAGGCTCCTTTGGGGAGAACTTCACTTCGCTGGTTAGAACGACTTCGAAGTGCGTTCGTTTGCGGTCACGTAGCGACCAACAAAACGAGCGCTCCCCACCAACTTGGCTCTTTTCAACCGATGGGGGGGTGCTTCTGCTCGAGGCAGAGACAGGTTTTTCGCTTGATTGGAAACAGGGATAGAGAGATGAGTGTGTGATTTCCCGTGCTACCCCCTGAGCACCGCCATCCCCTCCTATTCTCCAAACCCACACGTACACCCCAACACCACCTACAACTCAACCCAACCCCAACTATGCATGCAAACACTGAATTGTTATACAGGTTTCTTTATTTCTTGCTTCGGGTCACTTACGACTTTGAGAACTCCCCCATCAAACCTAAAAATCTTCCCTTTTCAGATTTTTTCCTCCACACAGAAAGCCCCTCTTTGTCAATTCTTAAACCGAGCTTGTCTATTTTCCAGAATAAAAAAAAGAAACTTTAGATTTCAAATCGAACACTTTGTAAAAGATGAATCAAGAGTCCCAAATATCACAATTGTGACTGGAGGACAATCACTGAAAGACGTCGGGGAACAATTTGGCTATTGTAACTTAATTTTATTGCTAAATTATTTTAAAGTATAATTAAACACAATGTAATATATATGTTTAAAAAGAGAAGTTCCTTATCGGTAGCCCCTGAAGTGATAGAAGCATTTTTTTCGAGTAGAAAGAGGGCTGTGTGGTCAAAATTTTGACAGTAAGCCTCCAATATCCACGTACATTTATACCTTAGTTTGAATCGGCCGTTGCTGTCAATATTTTCTATGGGACTACCGGAGTATTCAATGATTTTATGTCACACTTGGCTTAGCGCGGTAGCCTGAGGGTATGTCTGAGAAAACAGGCGGTGACAAATGCTGCGGGTTCCATAGTTGTTAGTTCACAAAAGCTTGCAATGGCATCATGGGAAACTAGTACCCGAAAAAGTACAGTTTTCCGTCGCACATTTTTTTGTCAGTACAAACTGCAAAATATTAATTTTATCTACCCCATTTCCGCTCCTCCTAATTTTTCAACTATTGCATCTGGTGCTTTTATTTCTTCCTAAAATTATTTTTACTTTAACAGAATAGTAGGCTAACTGAACAATCACAATGTTTTATAGTAGGCCTAATTAATTAATAAGTTCTTACAAAAACTGTATCCCTAGCTTTATGTGTTAATTTAGCTCTCGAATTGCGTTCTACGATAAACATTTCAAAAGTATTTACAAACCTATTAATTGTCTTGATATTTTTTGAATCTTACTTTAGTACATCGCTATTTAGTGACAAGCAGATTTCAAGATCAAAACCAGATGCTACATTAAACAGTTTGGCAATTTAAAACAGTGCTTTGTTACCTTTCGTTGATATCAGACAAATCATTCCAAAATAATATGTACATCGTGCGCCTGGAAATCCGAAGTATAGATTCGCTGCTGCATCTTTATGATATAGACCTATGTTACGTTAATAGGAGACGTGCAGTAACCTTTTAATCTAGAGGGATTACATGAACACGTATCATAGTGGAAATTCGGTTTAAAAATGAACTTCATGAACTTATATATATATATATATATATATATGAGCAATATTAGGCCTATCCCACATCACGAGTTCTTATGTTTTTTTATTTTTCGGTTAACCTTTGATCTTTGAACAAGTTAGGCTTCTTGAGTATAAAAAATAGCGTTTCTGATAATGCACAGCGAAAGTTTGGCATAGGCCTGCCGTGGAGGACGCAGAAGGAGTTTGAACTGCCCGGGGAATAACATCTGGCCAAATTACCGCTTTCTGGCATGCCCAGTATGTCCATAGCCAGAGCGCGATGAACGCTTGCTACGCACCACCTGTTTCACAACCACATAGGGTGCAGACCAGTAAATCAGTTGCCATAGACAACAGTTATAAATATCCCCACTTAAAAAAATCGCGAAAAATACTCACAAGTTTCACAGGTGTTCAAGACACATATCAAATTAAAGTTCACTTCCACAAATGTCCGTTTCCCTTCAATTTTCAGTGGCCTAACCGATGACTTTTGAAGATATATCTCTCCAAAGAAAATAACCGCTTTTAACAGTCAGGAGGCCCATCGCCATTTTGGTAATTGATGCCTAGGCTACACTCCATGGCAAAATAGAGCAATTTGGAGGGCCCCGTTTGGTCCAATACTTTCAGAAATACAGGCTGACAGTCCTGCCCCTGCATTTCATCCACCCTTTTAACAAACCACCCAGTCCACGCGCCACGCCCTAATAACACAGTACATGACAGCCTACAAATCGTGATTTGGTCCGCACAGGACTGGCCTGCAACCTTTAGCCCCCCTTTGTACTCCATGATCGCCAGCGCAATTTTTCGCTGGTAATCTGCATCCTAAAAAATGCCGTGTACTACAGTATAGGAAGTGGCCTATTCATGTCATCGTTGGCGCTTGGTCTGACAACATCAAATTTAATGCTTGCGCAGTTCACTGCGCAAGCATTAAATTTTGCGTGTACAATTAGGCTGTCTACCTGAAGTGTTCATATGCAGTTATTGCCCTTATCGAATCCTGTCTTCTGGACTTCTTTTGGGAATAAATAGCCAATGGCAAATAGATAAGATATTGTATTTTATTTGAATCGTTTTTATTACGGAATTTACACAAAAAGATACTTTATGAGATCTCAGCTCACGATCGCTCCTTGCGATGAAACAGCGCATTTTGTTTTTCGTGAACTTATTAACTGTCCTGTTGTGGTCAACATGTTGTTGGCCAGTCGTACCCAAATTCGTACAAAGACTTTGAAAACTGATTTTTTGGAGTGACAAAATAAAATTACAAACATTGCATGGATAATGGAAAAGTGCATCAAAATTTAAAAAAAATGAATTCACGACGGCAAAAGTAAATCTAGCGTTTGACATTTTTTTCTTTCTATTTCCTGGTAACTGCGATAAGTTGTAGTTAATTGCAAAGAAAACACCACAAACACTGCTAGGATAATACTGGCCCCACTTGTCCGGCTAAGCTGTAGGCAGTGAATCGGGCATTTTTAGAATGTTTACGGTTGTTCGTCTGACCGGTCGGCAATGATCATCGCCAGAGCACTTTTATGTGCCAGAGATGTAAATCTTTCTGCATCCTTCCTGCATGGGCCTACCAATCCATGTGTTGCAATGCATCTACGTTCTGTGCTATTGCATTACACACTGGATGCGGAAGTGGAGCGATCCGAATTCGAAAGTACATGTAGGCCTATGTTTGAGCTCTGTAAGCCGAGATAAATAATCACGGTCCAAGTTCAATGGTCACGTCGGAGCTTGTTACAGCTCACAGTCCAAGAACGCCAACGAAGCGCATGACAATCACAGTCTATAGCCATGAACGGGTTTGTTGTGGTCGGCGTAGACAATTGCAAACAGAGGTTTCCGCCCACTGCGTATGCAAAGACCAGCTGCAGTGTTTGGTGGCAGATCTGTCGGACGAGTAGCGAGTATGGACGACTTCGACGCTGACGAACGAGCCCCACTGACCGGCTCAAAGACCTTCATCGATGAGCCCAGCGAGGAAGCGGCACCAACGGCCAAGCCCACGCAGCAGCCAGAGATAGGTCAGGAGCCGGAGGGACCAGCGAAGCACAGGCCCCCGATTCAAGGTTCAGCTCAGCAGCAGGATGGATTGCCAGGAGAACGACCTCCACAACAAGACGCGCACACACCCGGTGAAGTCGATCAGCGGCCCCCTGCGTCCGATATGCCGCATGACATGGCCGAAGTAGGGGAGCTGCAGCCTCAGGTCCTCGAAGCATCCATGCCCAGACCGCGGGCAAACCCGCCGGAAGTTTCCCCCCAACATCCATCCACCTCCTACCCGCCGGAACAGGGCCCTCAGAGTCAAAATGCCCTAGACAGGCCGCCCGTCTTTCCATCCGCTCAAGGGGCACCGATGACCGGAGGCAATACCCGACTTCCTGGTGCTCAACCACTCCCTCAAGGAGTTCATCAGGATACCTCAACTCAAGGGCGCCCTCAACATGCAGCCCCCGTCTTGAACCAACCCCAGCTTGTTCCACGTACAACTGGTAAGTGAAGTTTAGCTCGGCTTGAAAGACTAAAAGTATCCTTTGCACTCGATGTCACTTCTCCCACAAGCCACGTTGGGCTTTTAAACGCTTATGAAGGAAGGGAACGAAATAGACCACTCCCAAAGAAACGAACAAACCAGAAAAACACCTTCCTTAATAGTTTATTATGGGGAGGGGCAGGGGGCATGACCCCTAGCTACTGCCCTGGATCTATCTGCCCTTGTGCTTGCGAAATGATTGGCTGAGGACCATTAAGGAATAAGTTATCAAACGACTGTTTCAAGACGAAGTCGACAAGTTCATTTAAATGTTACATCGCCTTATTGGGAAGACCCACTCATGAAAATTAATATACCAAACTGCATGGTTCATTGCTATTTTTTATCAATGCTTAAATTTTCTTCTGTCGGTTTCTTTAATGTTCTCCTTTCCCTCCATTTTACATGGCACTGGAGGTCAAATCTTTGTTTTCAAGGAAGTTATAGAATTTAAATGTACATCCCCTGGAGTTCACTCCATACCGCAGTAAAACTTTTCTCTTATGTGACAGATATATAAATACTAACCAAATCACGTCACTCAAGCAGAAAGCAATTTTCTAATGCATTGTAAAGAACACGCTAGAAGTAGAATCCTGCTTTTTTTTTTTACAAAGCACCACATAACGGGAACCAGGAGAAAAACACGCATGTATGACGCCCCTTGTGCGTCATGTATATTGTTTGAGTATATCTTGATTGCACGTCGTTTATGTTCACAAACAAACAATACACTTTTCTGGAAAACGTCGCAGTGATATCTTAATTGTTTGCATAAGCGCCATGATACATATGCTCTTGTCGACTTGCACTGGGCTTTCTGTTTCGCAATGGCTTATAAACCATTGGCGTTTAAGTTTTCTGATAACGAAACCTAAGCGTGGAGGTCAAGTTTTGAAGTAGGAAAAATATCAATGGGATCTTTCATCTATTTATAGTCATTCAACTTAACGAAGCACTTCTGGACAAGTCAGATTTCAACCATCATTAAGATCATGCCTGTAGATATTCATCTGTTTTTCATTTTGTAAAATGAAACTACTATTATATTTGCTCCACACATAACATTCCTTAGCGAACAAAAAAAATGGCGCTCTGAATAATTCTCTTGCTAGACGCTGATACTAGTTTTGAAATTTGTACATTGTGATCATCCACCAGCCGGCCATCAATTTCAGCAACAGCAACAACCGTATCAACAGATGCAGCAGAATTATCAACTACATGAGCAGCAGCATCAACATCAGGTTCAACATCATCATCCACCAGCTACTCAACATCTACCCCCTCCGCATCCGCAGCCCAACCTACCACACCCACCAACATCCCAACCGTACTCCCAGCAGCAGCCAGGGCAGCCCGGGCAGCCACACCAGCAACAGCAGCAGTACTACGACCAGCAACAGCTACAGCGGCAGCAGCACCAGCGCCAGCAGCAACATCCCAACCAGCAGGCGCTTCACTTCCCAGCCCAGAGTCCGCCCCAGCGCACGGTCAAGGTGACCCAACCCCAATATCAGCCGCTCCTCACCACCTGTCCGCAGTGCCACTCTGGTGTCATGCACAAGCAGTTCAGTCCGCTCGGTATCCTTCTGGGTATTTTCTGCTTCCCCTGCGGTCTCCTATGCTGTTTGCTTATGAGAGAGAACAAGTGTTCCAGTTGCGGGATGACGATCTAGTTTAAAAGGTAGAGTTGACCATTAGCAGCCATCCGAAAAACCTGACCAAAATCGTTCTTCGGTCTAAAAGATCGGCAGCAAAATCCCTCTGCAGTTACCCCGTCTGTCACACTGTGTCATTTTGAAACATACATTTTCAAACATATTGGGAATTGGAATGAACCGTATATGCCTTATTAAACCGAGGCACGCCCACATTCTGCTAAATTGTAAACACCAAACTGGTCAAAGACATAGGCCCGAATTTGTTGTTGGGCAGTCCTAATGCAAACACGATTCAGCCACTTGTGAATCGAGTCACGAGACCCGTAAATAATACCCGCTCTCTCGAGTGTGATCACAGAGCAGAGTGTTATAAGATTTGACCAATTTTTATCGCTTGTGTTTATCTTTTTAAATAAATCAATCATACAGAATGAGTAGGTTTACTTTCGTCGGCATCGGGGCACGATATGCATCGGTATGTATGCATATATAAATACCCATGTTGAGTGTACACACATGGTGTGGGTATGAATTGTCAAGAAACGTTCATGAGTCAGTTCTTGTCTATACTTGATTTTATCTATGCCTCTCTGTCCCCAGACAATAGATCTAACCAGAACAATCACGAATATAAAAATGGCCAAAGACTTCAGCTTGTGTTATTCAATTCAAAATTAATAACATTTGAATTTTGTTTTGTCCTAATGCTAACCTTAGTGAACTCTTTCCCCGTGACTGGGCAAAATTATTGCAAAATGATCATCAATGGTGTGAGTCAACGTTGTAAAATGAGGCGGGTTTTCATTTCCAATTTCAAACATAAAGAGAAGCGCCTAATAGTGCAATTATCCATATAGGACCCATATTTAAATACAGTGTTGATGCTCCCACTATTTTCAGTTATCAAATTGGAAAAGTCAAATTTTACTCTTGGAACCAGTTTTAGAAAATTGGTAAAACAGGTCTGCTGCTCACAGATGTATAACATACTCCAGCATAGTTGACTCAACGTTGTACATAGAGTGTATTTCACACAAAACCATCAGCATCACGTGTGATCGTTTGTGAACGAAATGCAACATTTTGTCGACCTTTGTTGACATGTTGAGTGAGATGCCGCCAGTAGAGATCACACTGCAGTATGCTGATGAAAGCTCAACTGGTATAGTTGAGACGGAGACAGCCCCCTTGCTTTGTGTTGGTCATTGTCTCATTGGAATCTGAGGAATTAATTTCAGACATCTGGGGGATGTGGTAGGTAACAATAGTCTAGAGTGTGTTTATATAGCGATTGGACATGTGGGGGGGGTTGCCCCTTGGTCGCAATTATTGCTGGATATAGCCCAGACGGAATCTCGTTTTTGTTCTACTGAATCCGTAAACCTTTCACCATTTTCTCTAGTCATGAAAGATGCTCAGCCTTGACGTCGGGCGATATTCATAATAAAAAAGAAAAAACACACAAAAACTCACGTAATTGTGTGGAGTGCGAAACAGAGTTTTCAGTATTAATGCGCACTGTAATTTAACCTTCTTAATGATATGTTTAAAAGAAAGCATGCTAAAATATATCATAACCGCCAAGCACGGCCTAGGTGCAAAGTCTACAAACGCAGTTCAGTTTTCTATGCATGGTGTTTTGAATAAAAAGAGATGTATAAAATAGCAATAGATATTCTAAAAATACAAAATAATTTTGTGTCGTTAGTAATGATCAATAACTTTTCTAACTGATTTATTGTGTATTAATTGTTTAATAAACATAACAATAAGTAAGTGTTTATTATGTGAAACGAATGAAACGTGCATATAAGTATCAAAACAGCCAAACATGTATGTAAGCGAGAAAAGCAGACAATTGCAATATCCGTGTTTAACAAAATGTTACTACGTCGAAAACATCGTCGAAAAAGTTGTCGCAGTACTAAACATCATTTTGAGCAACGATACAAGTATCTTACGCCCACAAGCTGCGGTATGGTGCTAGTTTCCTTTTAGGAATGAAGTAGCTTAAAATGAATACTCAAATAGAAACACTCTGTGGCAGATAGAAGGAATAGATTTTGTCTGAAATTCGCCCAATCAATTGTCAAACCTTGACAAGTACCTTTTAATAACGTAGCATCTATCACACTAAAAAAATCCAAACCCATTTGAGTAAGTTATGAGAGGAACACAGTGGAACGAAACTACTCCAATTTCATCGCTTTTCAGGCTCTTGAATAATGGATAACCCGATCGGTATTGTGGCACTGTTCATCATTATATCGGTGCATGAGTGGGACCAAACTTTCAGCATTTTTGTATCTGAGTGTGCCTTACTAGTTTTGACGACTTTATGTCGTTTAATGTATTTCTTTTGAAATCTATTCTCATAATGTGATTTGTTTGTAAGATCATGTCCCATTCAACCTCGTTAGCTGCGTTGATGAATTTGATAAAACACTACAGTAATGAATGCTAACCGGCAGTAGGTGCGTTTTATTGAAGAGACCACCACCAAACAAATTTCACCTTAAACATTTAGTGCATAAATACAATTTGAATTCTCGAAGAAGTGTGTTTTTTAATACACAACTATCTGGGGTTACACCATACTTTCCTATTGGAAAATGGTTTTATTGTTGGTCTTGAGAGGAGACTAGTATTCACGCCTCGTGGAAGCTTCTCCAAAGTGCTGTAATGTTGGACTTAACTAACCTTTGAAAAATATGCCCAAGAGCCACGATTATAGCCTTTATTCAAGTCAAATCTCCTCACCATGCTATGTAAAAAAAATCGCCGGGGGAGGGGTGCTTGAAACAAAGACACATGGTGTAAAGTCTACATTTGGGCACACTTGAATTTGTGTGACAGAATACCACCCCCCCCAAAAAAAAGAAAGAAAAAAGGACAGGCTCTTTTGTCATACAATAGATCTTATATTCAAAGCATCCACATCATGCATTGCTTGATTTCAAGGAGAAATATTTTTAAAGTACATGAAATCGCAGATGCATCAAAGAATGACGCATATTTTTATATCGTGCATAATGTATCATGGAATAGTACTCCAAACATTTTTGCTCAAAATTTTGAGTAGTAATATTAACTAGGTAATATTGCGTAACATTTTGCAAATAAACGATTCTGAATACAGGAAGAAATTGGGCATAATGCGATTCGTTCGTTTATATTTTTTCCCTATTTACAAAAATTGAGTATCATAGTGACAAAGATTCAAAATAGTTTTAGTTTCTTTGTTGGATTTTCTTACTGATGTTATTTGCTTTTTTTTATCCTGTACATCTCAATAAATAATCAAAATATACTCGGGAGAAAATCATTAGCACGTGTATGCCGTGCAATGCCTGAGTTGTTAAACCTCGTCTTCAACGGACCTTCCTCCCTGACGCAGGCAGTAGAACCGACTGCTTAGGAAAGCTTAGGAAGGTACTACTTGAGGCAACGTCAATGTCATTTTCTCTCAGCTTCTGCACTTTGTTTCAAATGTAGTCAAAGAAACGTTACTACTTTTATTCAGAGAATTCAATATAGCATTTTGTTTTCAGTGAATACTCAGTGTAGTTTAACTTTGGACAGAATTCTCCCCCCATAAATTGCCAGTAACTCCATAATTCAAGAAACTATTTTAGTCCACATATGTGTTGTGGTCTTTGGAAAGTTAATGGTTAAATATCAACAAAACTACGAGACTCTATCTTTCAATCTGATAGACTTGTAAGTGTATATGTCTTATTTCACCGATTATTTCGTTTTCAAGTCACGCTTCTCATGTAGTCCTTATGTCATTCCAAATGTAGGTTTCATTGTCACTTGTTATTGGACTGAAAATAACAACATAGGGAAACCTCACTTCGTTTTTGTGGTTTTGTTAATTTGTTAATGTATCAACCACTCCCCAGGCTTGCCAAGACCACACCTTTACCGCACCTTACTGCAGAGAAACATTTTCTGGCTTTTTTTCCTTATTCATTCTGACACGTAAATATGAGACTTTGGTTTTTATTAAAATTTTGTTATTTTTTATTTGTTTTTAACCGTGAGCAAACACAATATCTGTCGATAAAATATCGACAAAAACAGAAGTAATCGATATCTGAAATTGTCCAAACCCAACAGGGTTTCATCATTTTAAAGAGGTATTAAAATACCCCCTTTCCCCAATTATAACCTTTATGCAACAGTCAACAAGACCAAGATCGAAAAAAATTCCAAAAATGGGCTTCAGCGAGTCCCTTTTCGGCGATTTCAGAAACACTATATGTATTAATGATATGCCGGTGACCCCAAAACGTCACAGGGAGATGCGGCTGTAAACAGTGTGGATCTGCACACCCGAATCTTGTAGTAGACGCATGCTCAAAATGCAATGTTCTTGCGCAGTTCTTGCCCAATATAGCCTGAAAGTTGACCCCTGATGTTGACCCGCTTCCGGACCATTGGATAGGGGAAATAACCCGCAAAGATTTTAGAATTTGGAATATATTTTTTCGTTCAGTTACTTCTTAAAAAATCCAACTCGGAAAAGGTGCTTTGGAAAAATTTGCTAGTATACAAATTTATAAAAAAATGAAAAATCACCTGACCTAAAAGAGAGATATCCTGGCAAAAATTAACCCATCAGTTCCAAAAATACATACAAATACATGAAGGTCTAGTGCGGTGGTCTCGTATACGCAGATGAACATTTATGGTTTGAAATTTAATTGTAGTCTGCTGCTTGCTCTACGCAAGCACGCAGGTGGGTTGCTGTCTTTTTTTTTCTAGAATCTTTACATAGACATACGGGTGCATGACCCTCACATGCACATGTACATTTAAATGTACATGTACATGTATGCCACGCAAATTTAAGCTCCTCTCCTCTCAACCGGTGTCGCATTTTTCAATCGGTGTCGCATTTTTCAACCAGTGTCGCATTTTGATGTGAGTAAGCCGCGCAGCCATTAACGTTGATGGTCAAGCCATGGCCTGGCTGACCCGACATTGTTGACTGGAACCGGGTAAAGGTATGCGACATGTGTTTCAGGATTATGGAAAGTTGGAAACGGCGAAATTAGCATGTATTTGTCGATTGGTATAGCTGCAGGTAAATAAATTAACAGCCCTTTAATGACCTCGGCCAGGTTCCTACAACTGTCATTTTGATGCAAACGTGTCAATCATTTGTGGAAGTTCACATCGCTCAATTTGGTTTCTCACTTCTGCAAGCTTGCTGAGTTAAAATGCCACCCGTATTGATGATTACTATAATTATTTGTTCCTGTGGCTGTTTTTGGTTGTAACTGCTGTCATTACGTAAAGTTACATCAAAAACCAAATCCAGTAGGCCTATTGTTCACTCTGGTTGGTATTCGCTAACCTGCAGAGTTGCTGTCTGAGGAGTGAGGGGGCGTTTGTCGCAGGAGTGTCTTTACTTTGGTTGAAAAATACGACACCGTCCGAAAAATGCGACGCCTGTTGAAAAATGCGACTCGACGGCACATATGGAACACCATAGATTATGTCCAGGCCTAATAAACTTTCTTCCTCCATGACATAACTATTCCCCAAACCATTTTTCGGGGAATTTTAGGGGTCCGATTTTTAAAATTAATCAATTAATTACTTTTATTCTTGTTATTTTTTAAAAAATCTCTCATGAGTTTGAAGTTGGGCAGCTCCCATCAGTTACCAGTTTGGCCCGATGAACAACATTAAACAGCGTCCGTTAGTTCGCGCATGGTTCAGCGGTCACACGAATATGAGCCATGAATTTCATGTATGATGTTTTGATCACGGGATCCAGATCCAGCAAGCGTGGCAAGTGGTTTCATTTTAACCGAGAGTTTACAGTGGACGGTACTTGTTGCGCCTGCGAGCTGCTGCACGTAAGCTCTGTGCGTTTGTGTTCCTCGTAGCTTGGTTCAATACAACAGCAGTTACAACAAACAATTGGAATACTGGTTCGTTGAACATACTCTTCGCCCCAGACTCGGTTGGACAAGCCTGCATTTCCCGTTCGACTGCTTGTGAAATTTATCTTCTTGCGGACGAACGTTATCGACCAAAATGGACCCTCCACCATACAGCCAACCCCAGCAGCCGGTATACCCACCTCAGGGCACTACTTATCAGGGAAACTGTGAGTATTGGAATGTTACTTTCTGTGAAACATCAAAGTGATTTTGATGGTGTCATGAGATTTATTTCTCCATACTATGCATGTACACGATCAGACCACAACCACACTATTCGATGGGAGTTCTAGTGACATCAAGTGACGACGAACTCCTTTCAGTTCCCCGAATCAACGTTTCATCGCAAAACGCTATATCCACCATTTTCTGAAAAATGAGAGTCGATGACTGATAGGCCCATGCATATTGTTCAGAAAAATATCTGCTTATTGGTATCTCGTCTGTTACATTCCGAATTGTCTCCTTGAAGATGTGATCATATTTACACCAAATTTCCCTATTTTCTTTGTGTTAGTAGATATAATCGTGCATTATCTCAAAATCAATGAAACAGACATACGGCGTTTCGCGATGAAACTTAAAAATCTAGCCGTGTGGCCGTGGTTGTTTGCACATGGTTGTGAAACTTAAGACGGCGGAGTGGCAGTGCACATGCATTTGTCCATAGGCCAACGCGGATCTGAGTCCCTCCCGTCGACCTGAGGTCATGATCATGCACATACATGCATCCCACTGTATTACGACAACAGTACAACCACTCACTGCATGAGCTATTGTAACTTCAGCAACAAGAGCTTTTTCAGGTTTAAACGACATGGAATACTTCCGCGAAGGTTTATAGCCTTTTTGGACGTTGTACAGTTCAAGAAATTGAGGTATATCTTTGTTACGGGTTCTCCTTAACAAGTATACTTTAGTTGTGGTTGTCATGTTTGACGTGGACAATTTAGGCCCAAGTTCCCCTCAGAGTTTATATATCCTAAAAATGGGAGGAATTCTTCAAAACGGACACCTGCAATACTGTCCGTTCACAATGTGCGCCTCCAAGCAAGAGTTTGCGTTTGGAAAGGGTCGACAGATTTCGCGCACTGTGATTGGCCAGTCGTTGCAAACTCTTGGAGGCGCACTGTTGTGAATCGCCAGTATTGTTCATAAATTCAAACATGCGCATTAATTGAATGTTATGACGTGGCTTTTCGTAGAAGTTGCCATATCTGCGAATAATTCTTCATTTGGACGAGGAAGCAATGTTGCAAGGTTGTGTTTTCTACCTAAGGAATTAGGATGCACTGGCGGTGGAAGTATGGGCTGAGCCAACGGCCCCCACTTTTTAACGGGGGAGGGGCATGAGCCCCCATTTTTGGCAGGTCCTGTTATGGGGCGGGGCTGATGCTCTCACCACTGGCCGCCACTTCAAAATGCCGCCACCGTTGCTAAGATGGTAAAATTTTTTTTTGATATGTTATGAAATTTCACGGTTAAAAAAAAAAACGGGTAAAATGCCATCGCAGTTTTGGTGATTTCATTTTGTGCTGGGTTTCCCACTTTGACTTCGGTTCCACTTGCTGTATCCAATCCTCCTCAAAGTTTGTTTCTTTTGCTATATTCAAATTTTAATGCAGTCAGATTGGAATAGAGATGTGTTACAGCTAGCGTATCTCTTTGATCAAAGTTTAGTAACTAGGACTCCGTGTCAGGTTTTCGCTGTAGATTATCTAAAGTGACTCCATGCACGCTATGCGTAAATAACGTCATGAGGGCATCGCAAGTAAAGACAGGTGCCTTGACACGCCAGGCTGAATGTTACGCTGGCCCAATAGCTGCAATGTGAATGCCATCAAATTCTATGCTATGTACATTAGGGCATTTTGTGGACAGAAGCCATTGGCTACCCCAGTAAACACTGCAAACAGTGGGCGAACTGGGGCTAAATTTCGGCAGGGGCAGCCCCGGGGGTTCACATTCTTTTCAAGGGGCACCGCAAAAAATAAGCTGCCGCAGCATTTCAACAGAGATTATTCACAGATTTCAATGGGGGGGGGGGCACGGGCATCCGCTTGGGGCACGTTCTCCTCTTAGTTACGCCACTGGAAACAAAAGGATGATGAAGATATAAGCTTTTAAGTTGATGTGCGTTTTGGAGACAGTGAGACTTGTGTTTTTCCCTTATATTTTTGAAGAGGGGGTTTATCATGATCTATGTATAGCAGCATAATCACTGGTGAGAAACTTGAATCTTTTACCCTCTCCGGGGTCGAAACAAATAGGCAGGCCGGTCTACGCTGCGGAACGGGGCTCTCATGATGTCTTCCGCCGGCCTTGGTGTATTTTGCAGTCTTGAAAAATGATTTCCCACAAGTGTAACTTGCAGTAAGTTACAGCTGTTATCGGGGAACTGGAGGAACTTCGTGGACGATTAAAGGAAAACACTGCGATTAGAAATACTTCCAAAACTTACTCCAGAAGTCACGTTTGTTTTCACAGATCATGCATGCATACCACTTTCTGTTCCGCACTCGGGTCAAAGGTCGAACCTTTAACGACGTTTTTGAAAGTAATATGTTCTTTAAATTAATGTGTATCTGCAGCATGTCGGGCAAGTAGATTTCCCCGTTTCGGAGAAGTGGTACAAAGGGAAAATGCTACAGTCCGCTTTATGCATAAATTAATTGAAACTTATATACAAGTTGACTTTGTGCGACGCAGAAACAACTGTCCCTCAACCATAGCTTAGAGAAACTCCTCATGTAATTTTTTTAGCGGAATCAAAGATAGGTAAGGATGCATCAACGTATTACAAATGTTTAGTCTGTTCCGTGCAAGGTCATATTCCATGCATTATGCCCACCGCATTGTGCATTCTCTGTGCTGTGCTCAACTGACGTTGGAGTGCCTTCGCTTTATTCGTGTCACACGGTGTCGGGTGTTAGTTGGAACTTCCTGCTTTCTCACGAAGCACCTCGTGCTTTTACATAAACCGCGTCACCATACGAGAATGCATTTTGGTGTGCCGCACCACCGTCTTTGTTCAAGAGGGAAGTTTGGGTCTGCCCAGCCCCATCGTGTAGTCGTCGGGGCCTTTCAGAGTTGTTTATATACGGCATAACTGCCATATGCAGTTTTAGATTTTGGAAACAAAATGGCTGTTCATAATATGTACAGTAGAGCGTGCGGCTATTGGTTTTTTCCCATGTTTTCCTGGGAGGGTCAGTGGCAATTATGATATGTAGGCGTGGTTAACTACAAGCTCCAGCAACTGAAGTTAGAAGGTAGATTTTGGTCTTTACTTCCCTAAACATCTTCTTACCAACCCCCCCCCAAATATAACTGCATACATGTAAACTCGAACCCTTGCCTTGTCGCTAACAAGTCAAGCGCTCTTTTGGGTGTAGTCCACTAATCCATGCCCCATTGAAAACAGTGTAAAATCAGCATAATAATAACAATAATATGGGTACCAACATCCGTGAGGCATCTGACACAGAAATTAAATTATTGATTGGTCCATAATCTTTCACTTTCTTTTTAATCGTCTGTGGGTTAACTGATTACATTTTGAGTTATTCCCTTTAAACCAAAACATTAAAGTCTGCTTGCAGCCATTTTTCAAGTGACAACCCTCAACTTTCTCGGGCACTTAGGACCATTTTTCAACTGTATTTTGTTGAGCCATGCTGCTCTCAGATGAAAGCCCAAAGACCCTGGGAATTGATTCTAGCAAAGATTTACACAATCACACCATTTCGGGGGACGTACATATCTCCTTGTTCAAAAGATACTGTGGGGGCACTTTTAAATGAGCTGGCTAGAAATGCTCGCTTGAATTAGTAGACTGAATGCTTTGGCGCTACATGTACATGTACATGTACCTTGCAACTGGCCGAGTGAGCAAGTTTGTTTTATGTTATGTTTAAAAGTTCGTCCACCCCATTTATGATAATTTTCCCCGACCTTCCCACGAAAAACACATGCTCAGTTTCAGATATACGCCCATTTTATTATAATTACCCATACCCTTCTTAGGAAAAAAATTATGTGTGCAGTTATTGTACAAACCAGCTGTCCGTGCGCAATGGCGCATACACTTGTTACACTGAACATGTACAGTACATGTACATTGTGCATGTAACTGAACATGTACTGTACATATTCATGTACACTGTACACACACGTACCGGTACTGGGTTCTGGAGACCCTTTACCGATGACACCACAACTTGCTTGTCTTGCTTGTGCTTTCCTTTTAATCACCATTTGGTTGTCAAATGACAAACTCTCTTTTCATATCTTGAGCATTTTGCATTCAAAAATTGATTTTTGTGGTTTGAACTTCTCGATTCATGCTCTGGCAACAACCAACTTATGATCAGAATCGTATCTAGTCACCAATTTTAATAACTAGACTCAATTCGAGTCATTAGACAAAAAGTCAAGTCGAGTCAAGTATTAAACTCGGGTCAGTTCCACAAATATTATAAATACGCATAAGAGAAAGTCATTGCTTGGAATTTGAAAGTTACATCTGGGTTTCATATGTAGTATGTTGGTCACACCACATGTCGGTCACAGTTCTTGATAATAATATCGCATGACGGAACATTATGACCCAGCACTGCAAGTCATTGCAACTTTTTCGTAAAGAAGTTTTGCTTTGATATTTGGGACTCAGTCTTAATAAGTTGCACTCGGGTTGGGTCTTCTGATGAGGCCGGGGACTTGAGCCGAGTCGAGTCATTTGCTCGCAGTGAATCGAGTAGATCGAGTCATTTATCCGTCAGGACTCCAGTTGAGTCGAGTCACCCAAAATTTTGACGCGAGTTGAGTCATTACACCTCTGCCTTCCACAGGCCTGTGTTTAAACAGACCAAAGCTACATGTATCTCTCAAGTTGACGTTTTCCAAACGTTAGTGCAATTTGCGAAAAGATTTGTTCAATCATAAGGAAGTGAAAATTTTGAATTAATTTCGTGTTGATATGCAAAAAGATGTTCTAAGTATTTCTCGAATTTCTTCAAAACCAGGGCAGCCGTAGTGGAAAGGAAAGTTAAGCTTGATTTAACCGTAACGACGGTAAATATGCTGAAATATTGGCTCAAATATGCTGACATCTACCACAAAACCCGTAAATGGAAGTGAAGTTTTACTAAACAAGAACAAGCAAAAGGACGGCAACAGTACAAAAATATTCAACAGTTTTCTGTGCACAAATCACTGCAACATTGGGATTTTCTCCAAGGGATGGCATCTCAGAGAAAAAAAGAACTGAAAATCGGGTTAATTAAACCACAAAGGTGCAATTTTCAAGAGTTGTGGTAACAAAATTGCATTGCATGGACCTAAATTAATTTTAAGTATCGAATGAATTCTCTTTCTTTTCGACCTTATTCCAGATCTCCAGCAGCAGCCGGCCGCGGTCACCGTCACCGTGCCGGCCCAACAGGTGACCAGTCAGGTGGTGGTGGTGGGCAACTGTCCCGTATGCCACGTCGGTAACACGAGGGAGGAGTACACAGCCTGTGGGATCATCCTAGCTGTGGTTTTCTTCCCCTTGGGTGTGATCTGCTGCCTGATGATGACGGAGAGGGTCTGCAGTCACTGTGGGGCGCGCACTGGGCCGTAGAGCCACTCCACCGCGGCAGCCTCAAACGGTGTCGCCAGGGAACCCTCATCAAAGCACTATTTTTCCCCCACAGAAGAAAACGTAATGTTAACAAGTGCATCAGGTTTTCAGAAATTTCAGTGGGCGCATGTACACTTTATCAAAACTTTTGCCAAAATTGTGACCCGAACGAACAAAATGAGTCGAAAGTTTAAAGAGCCAATTTTGAGGGTTTTAAAATTTTAGTTTATTTTTGTTTTTGTCCTTTAAGGCCTCTTAAATCTTACGCAGTGTAAATCAACAGGCACCCTCAACATTTCGTCACCAAGATGACGTCCATTGTCCTTGGGTACAATAGAAAGAAAATTGGTTAAAAAGGGCCTTAAGACCCATTTTGTTGGGATTCGGTGACAAATACGTCACGTTTTATTTACACTGGGAAGATGTAAGATTTTGTTGTAATAATCCAGCCTTTCGTCTACATACACTGTAATGTAATAAGCACTATAAGCTGTCTTAGAGCCTATGAGATTGCAATTTAGAAGCCAACTCAGGTGGGAGACGATCCTTTCTTGACATCCAACTTGCTAGTACAGTGTCTTAATCGTGTCCTGGGTTCGAGTTTGTCGGCAGACCCCCGATAAGCTCGGTGCTGAAATGCTTAAGACCATCTGCACCAGCATGTACGAAGTCGGAGGTTCGAAACACCGTTGACCTGTCTGACTCTTTCCAATCTTAAATAGCTTCCGTACGGCGAGCGCATAATATGATCACAATTATGAGGCGAGAGGGAAAGTTAATATTTCTCAGCCATGAATTGCCCTAAAACTGTGGGAACTTAGAGTTAGTGATTGTCGTTTTTTAACATCTCAGTTGTTGTACTTTTACAGCAACAAGTAATTTTTTTAATGAAAAGAAATTCGATTTTCAGAACAAAATAGCGTCAACTCATTAAATTTAAGGATGTCAGAAGTATTTGATTGGTAACTTAAAGCCTTTTGCAAGAAACAACAAATTTAAAGGAAAGGCTTATTGCAGAAAGCTAAAGTTGAAGTCTTGGTTTAATTTCACAAGCTCAGAAGTATCCATACGTCTACACTACGCACAACATTAGCATTTATATCGTATAAACTTATCGTGAATCTCTGAAATGCACTACCGGTATCTTCAATGTCAAGCCGAATCGAGAAATGAACATGCTATTGTCTGTGGCTACGGCTTTTCACTTTGAGGCAGAAAATGGCCAAAATTTGAAGCAGTAGGCACAAATGTTATATTCCAACACATCCTGATACGAAAGATGACAGACCGCAGAGAAGTGAAAGAGATGTGAACTGGCATTCAAAGAACCTATTGAGGGGCTTTAAAGTTGATTCCGAAAGTTCAGACAAGTTTTTTTTTGGGGGGGGGTGTGTGAGGAGATGGGGGAAGCATTCCTGATACAACGGCTTGTTCAAAGATAAAGTGGTCAAAGTATGCATATTCCAAATACATTTAATAAGGTACGCAGCAGCTTTTTCGTGATTGCGCTAGTTTTTATTGGTCATTGCGTTTTTCTATGCCTGTATATTGTCGAAATTGAACCCTTTATGAGAAGGTGTTTGATGTTTTAACGTATTTTAAAAGCTCGATATATTCTTAGTAGTTTCTTGTATAAGATACAGTGGTGGGACAGTTCGACTTTTACATTGGTCTTGTTATAGCTTTGCATTGCAGGATCTCTGACAGGCTTGTGGGATTATTGAGTGACTTTGTGTGCAGTTGGGATGTGAATCTTTGTTTTTGCATCTTAAAAAGGTGTGATGTTGAAAATATCCCTTTTTCCCTTGTACTTCCCACAGCTAGGAGCGGTTTCAGCCCTCAAGATGTCGGTTGTCCTTTGACCACTTGTAATAGTCCAGCACGCATATGAAAACTTACTTGTTTCAGTACACTTTGAAGTTTCAGTCCAATGCAACGGGATTTTGTTGTATATGTTAATTTTTCTTCCACAATCTTGCGCGTGTCCATGAGGAAAGTAAGTTGTGGGATATCCGGCTTGTGCAATACGGGCGATTCACAACCGTGCGCCTCCAAGAGTTTGCAACGCGTTGACCAATCAGAGTGCGCGAAGTCTGTCGACCATTTCCAAACGCGCATTGGGTCGACAAATTTCGTGCACTGTGATTGGTCAACGCGTTGCAAACTCTTGGAGGCGCGCTATTGTGAAACGCCCCTATTGGCATTTTTGTGCAGTTGGCGTATGACGGGTCGGAACGATGAAAACTGCACTGCGTTGATATCAGAGACAATTGTCAAGGGATTGACAGATTCTGCCTGGCCTGTCCCATAAAATATTAAACCTTTCGAGAAAAACTCCATCATCGGTTCTTTCACCCGGACTGCTCTGTGGGAAGATTGAAAGTGACTCTGTATCCATACGCCTTGAAAGCACCTTGCAGACACTATTTCCCACGGTTTAATTTGGATGTTCTTCCGCGCACAAATTTGCCAGAAAGTCATAAGCCCAAACCACTGATAGAAACGCCTGCTGTCAGGCAATCCAAAATTCAGATTAGGTTAAGTAACATTCTCGTCAGAATGAAAATAGGGCGCCATTGATCAAAAACAAAAAAGAAATTTGCTTTGGAAATAAAATGGCTGTTCAGTATGAGTGTAGCAGAGCGCGTTGCCAATTTTCAATCCAACTGTCCAACTGCCATTTTGTTTCCAACGATTGTGACACTCATGTCACAACTCTCCCTATACACGGCTCTGGTAAATGCCAATCTTTTGTCGCCCTTAAGGATTTTCTGTTATTGTTTACTTAAAGTTAATCAATTTTTTTTGGTCAAACCTATTTTTTCGTCTGTATACTCAAATCAGTTGGTATTTTGGATAAATATTACAATGCGTTTTTGCTTTCATAAAATATAAAATTCAAGTTGCCTGCTTGTCTCGTTTGTGTTCTTGCGAATAGATTCCTAAAATTGCATCGTTTTTTCTAAAGTGAAGCTGCAAGTAGTCCGTCATTATTTTTGAATCAGACCATACAATTTTGGTAAGATATCCATTGAAGAACTACAAGGGAATTTATTTAGAAGGTTGTACTCCAAACCAGTGCTGTATGAAAGGACGTACAGTTCATACGGCACAGCGGAGGTAATGATCTGAGATGTTGGGCGGTTCAGGGAATTCGTGGAAGGGTGGCAAGGGTAGGCTGAGACCCCGGGCCTTCAGTCGCCCATTACTCATACCCCGTGGTCAAAACTAACTCCAGGGTGTTGCTCTGGCCTTTCATATCTTCGCACAAATAAACGATACAGCAAAGCCACAGTGCTTAAAGTCATTAAGACGGCTTCAGCAAGAATTGTTTCGACTGAGCGTTAAGCAGAGTGCATGCGTGTTACTTCACCACTATTTTGTATTGGGCAAAGTGAGCCAAAATGTAGATCACTGCAGTCGTGTACATAAACACGGAATTTCATCTAGTTTCTTGAAAGGAGGGCGCTATTTGGTTTGGGTAAAATCTTTTGTGGTTAATTTGCAGGCCAGCAAATGAACTGCCACAGCACTAGTCAACGGTTTTAAACACCTGAATTTAAAAAACAATTTAAGACAAATACGAGTTTCTCAGGCCTTCGAGACGTACATCAAATCAAAGCCCATTTTGTGGTTTTTCATTTTCCTTTCGAATTTCCATTCATTTGCCACAGAAGGCCATTCCTAAACACAGCGGTCGTGAAGCCCCTCGCCATTTTGAAAATGATGCCCACACTTCTCAAAAACAGACCGTCTTCAGACTCCGATTTCTTCCAAATCTCATTCAGATACAAATTGGTATTCGTTTCCGTCGCCTAAACCTGTGTTTTCTACGAATCTTCGAGTTCACCAGCCATGAAATGCTCTTTTTCGTAGAGAATTTGAGTGCACCACAAATAGTTACTTGGCCTGCGCAAGCAGTTTTTGGCCTATTTACTGGCCTGCAACCTCGTTTGCAGATCGAACAGCGCCCTCCTGTTGTGCCCGCGCGCCATGCTTTAAAGCGTGCTTCATAACGGCTGATAGGCAGACAATGCTTAAAGAGCCTGAGCAATTTTATTTTGCAATTTTCCATATTTCTGAGCAAAGTTGTGATGCGTCTCTGGGGAAAACCTCAGTGCTTAAGTTTTTTTCTAGGCATAAAGTTTTGCCGTTGCCATTTTGCCGTTGTAAATTTTCAGTTCTTTTGGGGATTCATGATTGTGTAAGACACTAAATAGGCCTAGCCAATTCTCGCCATTATTGTTCATAAAACGTAAAGTTAAACAGGTAAGGGATATTTGATTGTTTTCAAATACATTTGAAAGAAAATCCATTGTTTGACCTTTAATAGTGAAGTGTAATAGGAAGGGAATCAGTTGAAATTTAACCATTATCACAATAGCAACCAGTGTAAAGAGCAAACTGTCTTGACGTTTCCTATGCGTACAATGTGGATCGATGTCGCTGGTTCTCTGGTCCAATTGTCAGTAAGCTTCGAAGGTCAAGTGTGTAATCAACCCACCGCGTAGTGGTTAACATTCTACAGCCTGAAACACAGGCCGACCGAACTAGACTCTCAACAACGTTGACGAATTACCTTGAGTTTTACAGCCTGAGCCAAGATGGACAACCCAAATTATCAAGAAGGCCCGGAGAAGCCTGCCTACCAGCCAGTACCCGCCCAGGGCTATCCTCCAAATCCGAACTATCCACCCCCTCAAGGCTATCGTGAGTAGACACATTACACCTTTGTAGGATATCGAATCGGTTCGCCAGTAAATGGGACTTGGCAGGTCTCCAGTGCTTATGTCGAAACTTCACTGAAAGGCAGTGTATAGAATTAGCAAGATCTCAAAACGGAGTGTCGAATTATCTTGAAATATATCTTACTGTGAAGTAAGTATATAATAGTGTCAGACAATCTGTGAAATCTTGCCGCCAGGAATGCTGTCATTTTCGAGAAAAGAAAAATTTTACGTTTTTTCCAAAGATCTTCCGGACAAACGACCTTTGGGAAATAATGTACAGTTCGTTCAAATACCGTAACCTTTAACGGGCGCCACAAAAAATGTGAGTGAAGCATTGAGCTATTGGAAGTGTCTCTCTGTATGAACGGATAACATATGCATACAAACTACCAACAACGGCTTCCGTAAGCCTAAACTCATCAACGAAACAGATACATAACCGTAATTAAAGTTTCTTTAAGGAACTGTGGAAGTTTACCTCACGTGAATCATCTCGCTATCACCCCCTTAATTAAGATAATGGTCTAATGGCAGTTCAGTCGAACTCTGCATCGAAGCCTGGCTTTCTGGAAAAAATATCCAATTTTGAGACATTTAGCTTCTGTTCCAATAACAATAACTCTCATGCCCGAAATGCAAAATATTTGTTATTTATAAAGTGTTCATGATGGGCACTGACGGTGTGTGGACGGTTTTCGACGGACGTATGTACACACTGTACATGGTCGCGCAGTGAACGTAGTGACCTGGAGTCACTTCACTGTCCAATGAAACATTGTTTATTCGACAAACTCTCAGTGCTGTATTGTTGAAGAGAAGCACAACCTCAACCACTAGTACTCCGCGAAGCCATGGAAAAATGCATTTTTGAGGGCTGTAATCGGTCTGCAGATTGATCTCGCCTGTGCATTGTCCTGGCAAGGCCTCCTGTGGCCCATGGATATTTGTGAGACAAATTACACGAGCTGCGCTCCGAGGGTCACAATGAACAGGGTTTTTCTTGATTTCTCTCAAAGCAGTGATTTAAAAAAATGAAACAAGTTCGTGGAATGATACACAAAGTAAATCACAAACCCCCAAATCAGCCAATTTTGACAAATTGCAGAAAATGCAAATCTCGCACACTACCTTTAATGCTATAACGTATACAGGCACAGCGCTAGAAGTCAACTGTCCTGTGCTCGATTTGGTCAAGGGTGAAGACAGGCCATGTTGTCATCGCTCACCCCCAGTTTGTCGTTCAAAACGATGATCACAATCTCTTGTGACAGGTGTTTTTATCTTTGACAAAGGTACTTTCTTGACAAAAGCATCTGGTGATTTATCAACCCTCCAATTTATACACTCAAACTTGCATCTAATATCTGGGCTGCCCTTTTTCATTTCAAGGAAGCCTTACGGTCGGTAGTTTTACTGTTATGTCAGAGGGAAAGCCTATGTGTACAATTTATGAATGAAAACCCCCTAAAATGTCGAGAGAAAGCCCGTAACAGCAATAGACATGAAATGGCCTAATAGCCCCAGAGAACCTCAGAGGAAAAGAAACTTTAGATTTTCTCGTGATACAATTCATATGCAAGGCAGGTAGTAGTTTTTTGTAGACAAACACCTGTAGGCCTATTATCTAAACCAGTTCAGTCACAGTACCCAAAGGAAGATAATTTCTGTTGGTTACACCGACCTCATCTTTAAAGTTGGGCTGCAAACTCTCTTATGAATTCATTCCGTTATTCGACTCTTATGGACAATGACCTTTGACCTAGATGGTACGTCTGAAGCAGGTACAGGACTGTTAAAGTCACTTGGCAGTGTTTTTGTTTCCATGGTGTTTGCCAAATTATACATGTACAGCACAATGCACGTTACATTAAAATGTCTCTGAATTCTTGGCCGACTCTTGTAGTTTCCGGTTATCGCAATCCGCTTTAGTAAATTTCTTTGTACAAATCCAAAGTATTTGCAAGACCACCGGTACGTACTAAAACAGGTTCCAAATGGAAACATTTTAGTGATGAATGCATTTCCTGCTTTTCCTATTTGTATCAATATTTTAACATCGTACATTGAAAAAAAAACCGATTTGCTTCTTGCGAACTAAGGGAGCTCAAACCAATGCTTGTGGTTTTTTTATGAATTCAAGTTGGATAAGATTCAGATATTTCATCCGAAATGCGTCAAATGGATAATTGCTATTTTTAGGCCAAGATAAAATTCGTTTGTGAGGTATACTCGCTTATTTGTTCGTACACGGTCACGAGTGTCGATTTGATTTCAATAAACAGCGCACTCGAACTTTGGACATTGATAGAGGACCGATTGTGGGATCTCTGATGCATTAATTACAGCAGTTACTAACTACCACGGGACTAACCCATTCTGCTCAGAGATAAACCAAACAAAGCAAAACTCTTATGCTTCAGGCAGTGTGATGTTTGCACATTTTTAAAATGACGCAAGTAGACGTCAGAACAACTTGACACTCACGTAGGGTCAATTTCATATTCAGCTGAGGATTTCTGAGTTTATGTTTTACGCGCGAATGAAGGTCTTTGGAGACCACTTTGGTATTGAACTTTGAAACAAACGTTTTGTTTCTTGTATTTTGCGGTTAGGGTGGCCATCATATGTGATTAGTTTCGTTTTCAAATCTCTTTGGAAGTTTTTCTCGTCACAGGAATGAAAGCTCCTTTGGAGGTTTCTTCCAAAGAAAATAGACCAAAAACAGACAGTTAATGTTGAACGTTTTTGCCCGGGGGGGGGTTGTTGTTTTGTCTTGTAATACTTCGAGAAACATCAAAGTTAAGCGTGCAGGACAGACTATCAGAAACGTCGGGTTAAATGAGACCAGCTTGATGTCAAATATCTGGAGACTTTGCCTACTACCTGCATAGTTGGTCTTTTACTACCTACCATGCAGTGGCTTAATCAGGTTCTTCTGAGAGCGGAAAGAGTTCCTGGGGCACAGTGGCCCGCCCTTGGCCTTCCGTACGCCAGTGATAACATGCTTGGGTGATTAGAACCCGTGGGTTAGGTAAATTTGTGCATACCAACGCTTTAAAGGCAGTGTAATATTATTTGCAAAATCTCAAGAACGGGACAAACGAATTATTGAATCGAATTTGGACTGGTTTGAAATTAACGTTTCTTTATATGTTGATTTCAATTAACCACCTCGCTTTCACCCCTTAAAATAATGGTATGGCCCAAACCGAGCAGCACTCAGCTAATATAACCACTCCAATGCAGAAACTTGGAGGTAAAGTTGCCAACCATTAGTACTACGCAAAGCCGTGAAAAAACATGGATATTGCGGGCCATAATTGGTCTGCAGATAGACCTCACCTGTGCATTGTCCAGGCACTCAGGAAAGTCCTGTGGCCCGTGGACTTCTTGAGAGACAAGTACACGAGCATGCGCTTTGAGTGCTACAAATGAACAAGAACAACGTTTGTCTCGAGTTTTATCAAAGCAGTGAACTCAAAATTAAACAAATCGGAGGAATAATATGTGTATTATTCCTCCGGTACGGTAAATCACAAACCCCCAAATCGGCCAATTTTGACAAATTGCAGTACATGCAAATCGTATACACTATCTTTAAGTGTAGTTTCCACCATATGGGGGATTTTTTGAACACCCACCCTAAAAGGTAACCTAATAGCCCACGAAGTATTAAATGAATCATTTGAGGGGTTGGCCAAATCAACTTCTTGTTGGCCGGCTCCACTGTTAGATCTGAAATTTCAGGTAGTGTCTATGTTAATCACGCATGTTGCTGTCTGGCATTAAGCAGGCTAAATGTGATTATGGCCGTTTACAATCGCGTTCTTTAATTTCAAATTAAATTGTACTTAGCTCCATATCCATGTCTGCCTTGTACCTCAAAACAGTTGGTACATGGACTTTTTTCTGATTTTAAGTTATTTTGGCAAATGTTTTCTTATCCAGGCAGTTGATGGCCTTGAATTTCAGGGTGCTGACATCATGAAGGTCCCAGCGGTTGAAATCGTATTTCTCAGTTTGAGATTAAAGAGATTGAATCATTGAATCAGTCTGAGATTGAATAATTCTCAGAAAAAAAGTCGATCAAGGATACAGTATCCATGTTTTTAGGCCCCCTTATGCCCCTTGTTGCCGGGCTTTACTACATTTTAAAAACACTTTTGTATCTTTGACTCCAGCCTCCCAGCCTCCACCTGCCACACAGGTCACTGTGAGCCAGCCAGCCACCCAGGTCGTGGTGGTGGGTAATTGTCCCGTCTGCCACGCGGGCGCTTTGGTGGACCAGTTCACCACCTGTGGCATCCTACTGGCCATCTTCTTCTTCCCTCTGGGGGTCATCTGCTGCCTGATGATGAAAGAGAGAGTCTGTAGTCACTGCAACGCACACTTCGGCGGTTAAGGGGAGGCTGGATTACTGCCGATGACGTCATAACAGTATCTCAATCTCCTCAGCCAACTATTCAGACCTGGAAATTGGAATTCTCGACCAGCCACGTGACCTACCAAAATTACCTATCACTTTCGACGCTGTTATTTCTAGAACTCAACAGACTCAGACCCCAAATCTTTAAAACTCGTAACTGCAAATTACAGTTATACAGTGTATATTAGGCCAATGGTTTGCCCAGATTTAGCGGCAATTTTATGGACGATACTTTGCAAGATACTGAGCAAAACCAAATGCAGCATTCTGGAAAAGAGGGGCGCCCCAAATGGGTACCCAATCTGACTACCCACTGCCGTTAAATAAATAGAGGCTACTAAGGCAAAATACCAGCATTCAGAACGTTGAAGTAATTATCATTATTTCGTATACTTTTCGTATTTCGTATAAGTGAGGGCCAAGTCGATAGCTGGTTGAAGGGCATGGTTATTTCCTTACATAAAAACCGCATAAAACTACATATTTAGACACGAATTTAAAATAAACGATCCAGGAAAAGAACAAGTTTGGAGAAAGTACACTTTAGGAGACCTTCAATATCAAATCTCCCCGTTACCTGCTATAAGACGAAAGTTTTTTCCCCTTTTTTACACCCAAAATGCTGTCAAAGTTGTCATGTGATGAAGCTGTCTGTTACAATGTTTGCTGGAAGGCCTCTTACGGTGGCATTTTATTTGCCACCGATTAATCACAGGTTAATCACATGCATGCAACTGTTGGGAGTCACGATTCAGAGTGATCTTAAATGGGACATTCTCTAGAGCCCCTAACAGATTATTTACCTTGTGTATTTTAAAGAAATATAATGCTTCCTTGGCTGACTTAATCTCGGTCTTCACATGCTATATCAGAACAGTTTTAGCGTATGGAAGCCCAGTCTGGTACCTCGGTAAGTAAACAACTGGCTAATAAAATTGAAAATGTACAAGAATGTGCATGCCGTATTATTTTAGGCCCTCGTCAGTATCACAACTACTCCATTGCTCTGGATGTGTTAGGTATTTCTAGTCTTGTTACTGTATAACTTTGGTACGAAACTTTTGGAATCCCCTGATTTAGAAATATGCTTCCACCCCTTAAATTGAACAACACAACTATCAGAATACTCAGAGACAGTTCCACGACTACACTAGTTGTACCAAAGTGTAAAACTGATAGGTACATGAAATCTACAATTCAATTTTTAGCTAAAGGTTTGTAATTCGTAATATTTTTACTCGTATGTGGGAGTGAGAATTTGTCATTTCACCAACCGTCCTGAATGAACTGCCTTCGGTTTTTTCTCCTGTTTGGTGAACATAGATTTATAACTTAATTTTTCATAATTTTTATTTTTCTTTAAATTGTGAATCATTTTCCATACTTTTATTATTTTATATTTTATATTCCTTCTACTGATATGTGATGCCTTTACATTATTGTAAATGGGGTTTTATCAGCGACCCTGATATGGCTGCCTACCCTGTATATTTTAATTAAATAAACCAGAATAAATTTTGTTTTTTAAAGGGTAACTGAAATTGAAAGCATTTAGTTCACGAGAAGTATATTTCAAAATAACAATAAATACGTAACCATTTCAAAAACATCATAAATTTAATGCATAAAAAGAACCTGAGATTCCCCGCCCACAAGAAATCCCTTTTGGCCGTTCGCGCTTCCATGCTGATTGGATGAGGTCATCGCCAGAACGCTTTGCGCACAATACATGCAATCTCGCACGCTTGCAATAGACCATGCTGTGTTTGATGTAGCTTGGCCCACAGGCAAACACTGTCTCAGTTCAAGGGAGGAATTAGAAAAACCCAGTCCGAATGTGTATTTCTTGAACTGAGACAGTTTTGCCTGTGGGCTAAGCTACATCAAACACAACGTGGTCTATTGCAAGCATGCGATACTGCCATGTACATGTATTGTGCGTCATGTACAGTACATGAACATTTACACTGTGCATGTAAGCGTTCTGGCGTTGACGTCATCCAATCAGCCTTGGAGCGCGAACGGCCAAAATGAGATTTTTTGGGAGGGGAAACGCAGGATCTTTTATTCATCTTGGGTTAGCATTTAATGGGAAAACCTTAAATTTTTGATGTTTTTGAAATGGTTATGTATTCATTGTTATTTTGAAATACTTCACGAGAAATAAATGCTTTCAATTTCTGTCACCCTTTAATATAGCCTGGTTTATTTGATGCACCAAAGTGAAATGCAAACTTTCAAGCGAGAGACAGCCTTATTTCAGTGGGAATTTCAAGCCAGCATTTTTAAAGTTATTAAATTGCAAGCTAAGAGTACAGTGAGGAGGGGAAACGCGATGAAGACTGGGTGTCCCCCCAGGAAAAATCGAAAATTGAAGGGGGTGGGGCGCAAGCTTATTTCATTGTGGATCCATTGATGTTCAATTCATGGAATCGATCCGAAGTCACTGGACTGAACCTCTGTAATGATTTTTTTCTGTAGATTCAATTTTTTTTATATTGAGATTGAATATTAATTTTGTGATGTAGAAACTTTTTGAGTTGTAGGTAGAACACAAGATGACTTGTCACGTTAACGAGAACTATTGAGTGGGTATAAAAGGACGGGTTTCATCAGACTGACGTGATTATAGAACATGCTATGTGTATATGTGTTTATTAGATTGCCTCTCTAATCAGAATGCTGACTCAAAACCTATCGCTTTACGCGCTGAGATTGACAGCAAGAAGAGTTATTGTTTGACTGCGTTGTTTTTTTCTGCATTGTTTTTCTCCCACTAATCTGGTCTGTTGTTTTGGAGGACTTTCCTGTATGTTGGATATTGCTTGATCAGTTCTTATAGTGTAGTTTGTTTTAAAGTGGACCAACAGTCGCTTTAAACATGCATTTTCTTGTCATAATTATGCCTACGTCTTTAAACAACCGTAAAAAGGCTCTAAAACATCAGACACATCATGCGCCAGTAGTAGATAACGATATCTCAGTATGGTTCAGATTGTTTCCACAACGTTTAAATTTATGCTCCGCATACGAACTTGGGCACATCTCATGCAAGCCGTCTCATTCTCTGTTCTCTTTCCAATAGGAAATCATTTTTTATGTACCTGAGTTTTGTGTAGCGTTGCATATTCTGTATAAAGTATATCAAAAAGCTTGATTGGAATATTATGCCACATATGCACCTTTTCAAGTCTTGCTGCAAACAATGTAACGTCCAATATGTGGATGAAGATTGCAAATGGCTGGGAGACTTTTGAGATGATGGTGGTAAACATACCGGCGCCTTCCTATTGTTTGCCTTACGTTTGAGCTAATGTGATGATGCAAATATACAGTAAACCGGTTACGTGGGACAGGTATGTTTGTCAGCACCAAGCGTCTCAAAGGACTCCCATTGGCGACTCTAGTTCTAAAATGAAATAAAAATTACTAAAGTTAGATTCAGCTTTCGAGCTGTCATTGTCTTGCTGGCATATTTTACTCATAGAAGTAAGCATGAACCTACGTGGTTTTTATTATTGCTGTTTTAATTGAAATTACACCTTACTGAGTTTATGACTAAGTTTATAATCAAATCACGTATGTATTCATTCCTCTCGGCTTTAATATTGGTAAGCGATATGGGGGGGGGGGGCAATTCACCCTCGGAGACATGTTGCCATTCTTAGGGTTTGAAAGCGCCTGCACATATAGATTGGCAGTTATGCTGTCTTTCGGGTAAGGAGTCAAGGACTCATTTACGGATGAATAAAAAAGTGAGGTTTTTTTTTTTTTGAAAAAAAAAATGTCCCTGGGGGCTCTACAACCAGGTACGCCGTGGCATAAATAATGTTCATATGGCCATTATCATATTAGAAGGAATTAATTGCAAAAATTGCTAATAACTATATTTGTGCTGGATTTTTCTTGAAACAGTTCTGCAATGTAAAATTAATGGTATTTTTCATGAAAACAGTCCAAATTCTGTCCTGTATCGTTTTACTTCGGTGCGACTGTAGAGAAAAATGACAGAAAATAATCAATTGTAAACCATCTGTTTTAACTACAAATTTCCTGATCCAAATAACCTAAATTACTGTATATGTTTTTTGAATTATATGGGGGGCCACGTATAAACCTCAAAACTAAAATCAAATACAATTAACCACTGTTGCTTGATCAGTTTGTCATCATCGCCCTCAACATAAATTCCTACAATTCCTTTATAAAAGTATCGAACAGTTGCCTACATTCAGCAGTTTTTGCCTTTTCTTTCAACATTCTATGCAATCATAAACTTTTCACATTGATGTGCCAGTTTAATTCGCCCAATTTTAATAACAAGTGTCAAAAAACCCGACCAAATCAGAGTGTAGGCGGACACTAAACTCAACACGACCGAAGAATAAATTTCTCAAGTTATTAAGTTGATATTTCTCACGAAGCACGTGTTACTGCTGAGTTCAAAAAGCAGAAAGATCAGATAAAAAACAAATACAAAAATCCAAGCGAGAGCAGCGAGCGAGCAAGAAGTAAAACAAAGAACCAAGAAATTATCAGAAAACATGGCCAGAGACATGATGCAAAAGAAAAAAGAAGTGTTGATGTGTGAGTTGACCAGCTTAGCGATCACAAGCGCAGAGGTTGGTCGTTTCACATTATAAAACACGTTCATGGCTTTGTGATTAGTTACAACACGCAACCCCAAAGAGCACCTCCTAAGTACGAAGAACAAGTTGCTAGCGCCCCCCTTTAAACTAGTAAACTAACTAAATCTCTGTATTCCAAAATCTCCGTTTCACAATGAAACAGAGATTTTTGGTGTCTAGTGACAAAGTTGAATAGCAACCCGACTCAAACCAAACAAGCGCAAAAAACTCCCCCACATAGACCCCCACCAGCACACCAAAGGTAGAATTTTGAGCGGGTGCAGTTGTGCACTTCCAGCGAGCGCAGCGAGCGAGTCCGGAGAGTGAAGGCTAAACTCTAATTTACTGGTCTAGAATGAAGGGTGGGGTAGGTACCCAGGGATAGGGTTGGGTAGGTTTAAGACCCGATTTTGGTCTAGAATACCCTTCACTTGCAAGTGTTTGTTTCTAATGATCACTTTGGGCGGCAATCGAATGTGGTGCACTGAAATTATTGGATATTTTCGACCAAAGATCGTAGCTGTCTCCATAGGTAAGCTTTTTTTTTCACAAACTTCACTCATGGTGAAAAAAGCTGCCACTGTACGTGTACTTCTGGTATCTTCAACGATGTCCGTATCACAAAATGCCAATCTCACACACTCATGCACGGGGGTCTTGAAGTTACCCCTCCTTGAATAAAATTACGCAATCAGTCCTTATATACGTTCGGAGGACGTCTGGAGACTACATACGGGACGAGGACCAGTCTAGCAGCTAGCTGCTAGTGGGCCCTATAGACCTTTTTCACCTGCGTGGCTAAATGTAAACAATACCACCACGTGTGAACCGCCTTGGCCCACGGTGATCGTATATATTCCTACGGGCAGCTTCAACCACGTGCAAACGCACGTGCGAACGCTGCGTGCTTGACTAGTTTATCTTGAATCAAATAGATAACCATCACAACACTATGCACTCATTACCATCACAACACTTCATAGGTCCAGCACGATCGTGACGTCTTTGCTAATTCAATGTTGAGTATAGCACATAAATGAGCGTAGAAATAAGTGAGCATCAGTGCTCTTCTCAGAAATGTTTGAAGTTAGTCCATTCTGAGTGCACATATTGCAACAGCGAAAGTGCAGTGAGCCATATCTTGCCTGGATGACATCACAGCAACAGAGCCTCAGTTGTATAGAAAGGCATTGTTCAGGAAGGCATTGATAAATTGTATTGATAAATAAAAGTGTTTCAGTGCATTTAACCAAATGGGAGTGTAAAAGTACAAGTATGTGTTTGGAAAATTAGTTGCGGCAACCATTTAACAAAAGAGGGATATTCTTAAGGGGGGGGCGCGAAAAGGGACGATTGTTCGATTTTGAATCCAATTAGGGGCGTGTCATATTATCCCAAGATGCGTGCACTTCTACAGAACACCCTGACAGGCTCGCTCATATGTACGCGTCAAAGAGGGCGCTATCTACTTGTAACCAGCTAATACTGTTGAGATAAGTTTTGCCAGTGCCAGCTGAATCAATCAAAATAAAATGTTAGAAGCATGTATAAAAATGTAAAGAAAAAAGACACATTAAAAATATAAGTGAAATGCAAGGAATGTTTCCTCTTTAAATGAAAAATCTTTAATCTCCACTAAACACAAGACAGAAAATTTAAGCGCGGCCAATGAAAAATTCATGGAGAACATCAGAAAATAAGCCGTCTAAAACAACGTACCTGACTTGAAGAGAATTCTGCTTGACGTTGTAACAAATCGTTGTCACAACTGTGATTTCCGTGTCTATCAATTTGTTGCTCCTTCAGGGTCAAGAACAACAAAACTTTTCTGTGTAGGGTGTCGTCATAGGAGTAATTTAAAATGCAGTAATAGGTGGAAAGGCTTGCGGTAGCACCAGGCGAAGGAATATAATTCTGAGTAAGTTATGAGTAAGTGTGGTTCCGGAAAGAACGGTTCTTTTCAGGACCAAACTATATATATATATTCTCTCGCATGGTTCTCCTGCAAGCCTTTCTACCTACTGCTGTCTTTCACCATGAATAGCCTGAAATTCCATCTAAAGTGAAGTAAATAGGCATTTCACTAGTTGAGCTTGAAATCCTGTGTCTGTGTCCCATTCCTTGCATTTTGTGGGAACTGCAGGGCACTAAGGACCCAGTATCACGTTACTTTTCTGTTGTAAACCTGTGATAGTAACATGATGTCGACATTCTCGGAGCAGGTCATTACCACCCCTTGGTATTTTATCTCCGAATGACGACATATACCTTCGGGATGTCGTCATCTTTATAGATTATCGCTGGGATATTATTACCTATGCATATTGTCATTCTGATGTCAAATGCGTCAGGGAGTGACAAATCGAAAGGCTGTTCCTGGTGAGAGCTAGTCTCGTTCGTAAATTCTGTAAATTTAACAAGACGCGAAGTATGCACGACAGAAGTGTTGACACCTGTTACAACTATAATTCTCAGAGAAATTAAGAATGACCAGCACCCTCTGATCATAGGTAGGCCTATAAACAACGAAAAGGAGAAACCTTTTATGATCCCAGGTAGTATATAAAAACTGAGGTGGCTATCTTTTCTTTTATCTTCCGAGTAAGTAATGTCGAGTAGCCATTCAGATTGTCTTTGATCAAACATTTTTTGAATAAACCTTGACATACCTCAGGAAAAGTAAGGAATACATATTATGTCTATCATCTCTGAAAAACATTTTATCAGAGATTTTTGAAAAACAAAATTAAATACTCAAACATATTGATAATGGACTTAGTTTAGGGGACATTGAGCTCATTGTGAGACGTTGGACAGTGTCGGCCATCGGTCATCTGGAACCACTCTAGTCCACAGCAGGTGAAGCCCCACTAACAGAACCACGCAGAGACCAGCACCCACACCGAGAAGGTAGAAACAGCCACTGTAACTGCCAGTAATGTCGTGTAAATATCCTGTAATATGATACAATTATAAAAATGAAACAGCCACTTTAAGTGTGAGTTATGTTTGAAAAAAAAATAAAACAGCACAGTTAGTCGAGTACAAGTCAAACAACAGGATTTTAATAAGAAGCAGGCGAGGAAACTCTTGGTTATATTAGTTAAGATAACCGGGGGGGGGTTAAAATCCCATAAATATATTCAAGTATCGCGTAGAAACGAATTTTAAATAGCAATTTCCTAACTTATATTACAAAAGGAAATGTTCCACGAGCGTGTGTAAAAGATTCCCCAGCATCTTCAACTTAATTTACCTTGTAGTCGCTAGTTAAACACGAAGACAAGAGGCAATAACTATAGTTTGGGTTAGTGGGAAACTGATATCAAAAAGATTTCGGATGAAAGTATGGATAAAAATAGGCCAGCTGAGAGGAAAACGTTTGGCTATTACCGCTGATAGATGCGGCCAGCATGCCGCCAATGGCAACCAGAATGAGTACGATACCCAATCCTCCAGGAAACCTTTCTTGTCCAACAATTCGACGCAACATTACCCCAGCCAAGGGGATGTAAACACCGGATGAAAAGCCGTACAACGCTGCGTAGACCACGAAGAAGGCATAGCTCTCTAGGATAGCGATGCCGATGGCAGAAACGCTGACTACTGCCGCGAAAAAACCGTGGAAGAATGCCAGTTCTCCAACATTAGCACCCACCAGAGGACCGCTGGTCAAATTACCGACGATATTGGCTGCTCCAACCAAGGAGAGCAGTAGCTCGGCCTGCAGCCCAGGAATGCCGACCGACTCTGCACGAGCAACGAGGAAAAGCAGAGTGACGGAGTTTCCTATCGACGTGGGTATGGGTAGCAGAAGGAAACTGGCAAAGACCCGATTGGTCCAGATGAGTGACACACCAGCATGATCCAGGAATTGCACGAGTTTCTCCAGCCACGTCTTGTCCTTGGCCAGTTTATCGTCTTTGGTATGAGTATCTATTCCAAAACTTGATTTAGATTGATTCTGGAAGAGACGAGTTATACTGCCATCGTCAATTTCCACCTCCTCCTCCAAAGAACCTGTCTCGTGGCTTGCTTGATTTTCAAGGCTGCCGTAACTCTTCCGTTCACCATTGACCAGATTTGTTGACGTATGACAACTGGGGGTCGGCTTCATGAACTTTGTGCACACCAAAATATTTGCTTGTATCGCACTGATGACCAGCAGAGCCCCCCTCCATCCGTAATGGTCGATCAGGAAGCCGCTAACGATGGGTAAAGTCACTATCCCGACACTTCCTCCTGACCATGCAATTCCCCAAGCCAGAGCGAAATGCTGGTGAAAACAGTCGCTGATTATGGTCATGATGCTGGAGTAGCACAGGCTACAACCAATCCCTATAGATCATGGAAGATAAGCAAAATTTGTAGATACCAATAACGATAATTAAAAACCATACAAAAAAACAATCATGCCTTTTATTAATAAATGTTTTGGTAAGCTCAAGCGCAAACCTTTCGCTCGACTACCCTAGGGAACTGCTTCTTACTAGAGCGCAAGACAAATTCAGTCCTACTCAAATGATCCTGTTGTCGAACCTTATTCGTCAAATCCCATAATCACGTTCAGCATCTTTCGCTGCTTTCACGGTCTCTGCCATATCCCGCACAATTGTTTTGATGTTAGTGGTTGGTCAATTACGAAAAGGCTGTTGATAACTACAGATGCAACCCTACACCAGGACCTGGTTCCAAATGATAGAATCGACAAGCCGCCAACCACTGTTCGAGTGACGTTGGTCAACGTTGATAGCACATCAATTTTCAACATCAAATACCTACTCTTTGGATATTTTGAAAGAAAACAATCAGGGCTGCCATGTGCTTTTTGTTGTGATTTAATTTGCTCCTAACAATTCAGAATATAAAGAAATATTCCCGAATAAACGTAAGCCCGGAAAATCAAGTTTGTACCACTTTTTAGTCTCCCATAAAGCCGACTGAAAGAGCAAAGCACGAGTATCGCCGGTGCGACGTCACAGTTAGTATTCAAATGTATTGTGCAATGGAGGGATCCCAATACGACGCGTTTGGCATCGATCTGCGCATATCTGCGTTTGAAAACGAGGCTGTATGTGCCAGCTTCACACACACATTGACAAAGGCGCGATATACGCGATGTGTATGCACTGTCAGCCACAAAGTGACGCTGTGCCTAGTGCTCACGATTCTTAGTTGTATTACGATCAAACGATTGAAAGTAGGAGTCAAGACACAAAATATATAAAAGTATGTTAAATTCAGACTTTTCAGACAGCAAATTTTGTGGAAGAGTCTTTCAGGATGACTCGACATGCGTCTTGAGAGTTGATGTGATCCTTGTCGATATTACATGCATAACGTTACTCCCCGGCCCGAAGAAACGTTGAAAACCTCGACTTTAAATTTCCTCATACTGGTTGCCAATCTTTTTTGCTGAAAAGCCTACATGTAGAATTCATCCGGTTAAATACGGGTACCTATTCTTTCATGATACATGCGACTGAAACCTTTGTGGACCATTACGTCATGAAATTTCTTCCCAAACTGGAAAACGGCTTGCATAATTATAGTCACACGCATTGCATACTGTTAACAAAAAAAAAATATCGAAGATCTAAATTAGCCCAATTTCACAGTAATATCCTGATAATTTCATCGACAGACAACCAATCCTGGCTGCATTAATTTTGAGCTATGTGTATGCAGCCAGAACATAAGATTCATAACAACAAAAGAAAAAAAATAACAGCAATTTACCGCGAACTGACGTACCTGTGATGGTCGTGTATCTACTTGTATACTTCATGTACTGTGTCGAATGTGCGGGCGCGCGCGACAAAGTTCAGCACAGAGATCCTCGATTTCGATGCGGATATGCGCAGGCGGCGCTAATGTGAAATCCCTCTATAGACCGATCCAGTGAGCCCCGCGCACTTTGTAGTGGGCACTAAACCTTGTGCTCCTTCAATGCTAGGCTATGGCTAAAATAGGCCGCAAGAGTCTAGTTGTATTATTTGTGCACCTCTGTGTATTTCCAGCTCTATACTATGATTTGGATGCAGCCCCCTCCCCCCGCTACTTTTTCCAACTGCGTTCACCTTACGCGTCGTGCCAGAACACAGTCGGGTTGGGCTCAGTGTATTTATCGTGAGCTAAGGAGTTAGTTGCAAAAGGGTGGGGATCATTGTCAAATCTGCATTGAACCGGCTTTCCCTGCAGCAAATGAAAATGACTGCAACCCAGCGACAATTTCAATGTGCATACTGGGCAAGCCTCATTTATGCAACAACAAAGGAAAGGTTGAAGAGATGGTTCTCCACAAGAGTGTTACACTTCATCAAAATACTATAGCCTCTAGTTTTCTGTTTAAGTGTCGGCACAGCCTTCTATAGTTGCTACCGAAGAGGGGAGGTAGTGAAACCTCGATACTCCATTCTTGAAACCCTGCTGCAAATTATCGTACAAACCAAGACTAAAAGTCTTTTACCTGTCATGAATGGTATGGTGATGAACAGCACGTAGAATTCCCGACCAAAAGACGCGATGACAAGCCCCGTGAACGATAACGATGCTCCAGCCACTGCCACTCGCCGAACTCCGAAGTACTTCACCAGTGCTCCAGCGATGCATGCTGAATGATGGGAAGTAATCAGTAATCAGGAACTAAAGTATCTGGCTGGAGAGGGAATCCGTATTACCAGTCTCTGTGCTCCTTTTTGAGATGTCAATGCAAACTCTAAATACTTAGCTTTTCTTTGTTGTCGTTTAAACAATTAAATAAACAACAAACAAACAGACAAAGGAAGGAAAACATCCCACCTCACTCTGCTTTGATCTGAAAGAAAAGAAATTTGTCTTCAGCTTACAAAATAAATACAGCAGCGTAAAGACGGAAGACGACAGCCAGCCGACCAAGGCAGCACTGTGTGGGAACTCACGGAACCACTCTATGTAGAAGACACCAAGCGAACTGCCCAATCCAAACGTCAAACCAACAGTGAGGAAGCTGGCCAGCACCACGGGCCAATGACGAGCTTCAGAGTCCGGTGAGAACATGGCTGGGGCTGAAAACACAGTGATCACTTCAGTGATGCAGCTTTCAGCTAAAGCATTCGTATTCTAGGTCATAACAATCCTTCGTATGTTATGAAGCACCTACCCTCTTTATTAAAGCCTTGGCCTTAGGTCTTGAGTTAAGCCTTGACACGAATAAAACAATACAAGAAGACGTTCTTTATTAGATTTTAAGTGCTCCCTTCAGAAAAGCTGTGTGCACTCTGAGTGTTATACCCTTCGGAGGTTTACATCAGTCACGCCACTGGTTTCTGCAGTCATTGATAATCGGACAGAAAAACTGTAATAAGCTTATACCGAAGGTACTAATACTGACAGTACGGAATAGAATAGAATAATGCATAAAAAATGGAAATTTGAGGAAGAAACTAAATAACAGTCAAAACTGACCTTCCCAGGAATATACGCTTGACATTTAAGAACGTCCGTGACTCTAAATACGTTTTAAAGGTGCTAATTAGCTGGAGTAGATGGTACTACCAGCATACCATATTTTCGATGTGTTCAGTCCAAAATGATTTCTCCTTGGTAAACACGTTGTGGCGCACATGCAATATGTGAAGCAGTCCGACCTTTTCTGTTACACTTTCTTCCAGGTTTCTATTATATGTGTACGATATTGCATTGTGCATCCACAGCTGATTCTAGTTTGCTAGGAAAAATACATGTGGTTGTTATGGAAGGCATAATTTTATGACTTTCTGCTTACAGGCGTAACCTTGAATTAAATTACGCCACTTTTACCTTGTAAAACCAACATACGGAAATCCCGAAAAACTGAGGTAAGTTACACTTCATGAATGCAAAACAAAGAAGAATCGAGTCGAATGCACGTACTCAGAATTACTTTCCTTTTTTTCATAATTACCATTGCTTCTCTTATAAGAGAACGAGGTTAAAGACTTACATTTTGCCCATAGAAATAGAAATTGCCAGACTTGTTTCGTACCCATGGTCATATCATTTCGGTTTTAAGGGACAAGAAATCAATGGCAAGATAATTTCCACAGTTATTGCATCTTACACACTATCAACATGTTTTTGGTGGTACGTTCAGTCGTAAGTAACCACGGTGATACAACCATGCACCCACTTTTACCGAGCCACGTGCCCCGTTTCTAGACTCCTTTTAATGGGTGGCTGTGACAGCGTTGACGTGCATCAAAACCGAAAACACGAGGGGAAATGATGAAACGTACTTTGTATTCCGCACAAAACTGGCGCTGTAGGTTGTGGCTTTTCCTTTCCAAAATGCAATTGCAAATTTGAACCTACATATTAGCAAGAACCCCATTCTAATTATGCACAACTCTTATTTTATGCACGACTGAGCAAATGTCATGGCTGCCTTTGTGGAGCAAATGTTTAGTGCGTGCATAATTTATAGCCGCAGAGCTCAGTCGAAAAGCCAGTTTCTGACACAGTTGGATGACATAGCAGGTGCGTTAATTGCCAATAAGTGAGTGTTAGCAAATCGCCAGCCGACCAGTAAAATGATGAGATGGCGGTTAATGATGGCGGTCAGCAGCGGCAGTTATCCCCTTTCCCCTGCCACCCCGTTTGCCGAAAGCTAGATCTGCCCCTGACCTTCAAGAGATATATTTTTAACAAACACGACTAAAGCACGCACATAGAATGGAAACACTCGAATCCGAAACGGACTTGAAACTCTACGTTGAAATAAAGGTGCACTCTCGTTGAACCGTAATGCACCCGTACCGAAGGTACAGTAACTAACCTCAACGCATCAGATCCCACCACTGGTTATCAATCAAGGACAAGATAAAGCAAATAAACATTTTGAGAGACTTCGAGAGAAGAAGGGTTTCCACTTGAAGAAGCATTGGGGTCGCTGGATGAAAATCTGCTATTTTGTCACTATTTGAAAAAATGTTAAAAGGCACCATGATCGAGCACATGATATAACATCTTAAAAGCAACACGTTGGATTCTGTTGTCTGACAGTGTATTCCCCAGTACGATGAAAGCAGCCAAAATTGGATTTGTGCCACATTGTAGAACAAAATAAGCCCTCAGCATTTTCAGTATATACACAGCAATGTCCTTTCAAATCAAAATGGTTGAGATGCGGTTTGGGGGTATTTCAGCCACACTATAAGAAGTGGCATGCACGAACTCGATTCTGATCGCTTGTGGGGCATATCTCTGGATAGCGAAGAGGAAATAATTCGATATAGAAAAAACATTATCGAGCCAAGAGTGTCGTCTTCAAAACCACACATGTCCGTTACAAATACCAAAAATGGAAGTTAGAATATTAAACAAATTAGGCCTAATCAAATAAATTCAAGCCTGAATCAATTCCCGAATCCCAATAATTGTGTCACGAAAGGCCGCCCTGTAGAAACACTAGTTATCTTAAAACAAAGCAACTACTTTTACTGCTGATCTGGGTTAATCTGTAAGTTACCAGCTATGAGTGGCATGGTATGAACTAGCACGAAAAATTTCTGATCAAACAGCTTTGACCATTGCCCGAACTCCAAAGTATGGCTGTTTGAAATTGCACACAACTGAATGGAAACTGGCTGCGGCAACAACCAAATACGCGTGCGTGATTTCTAGCCGCAGCCGAGCAATTTGGACACTGCCTAGTATGCCAGTGAGGCGACAATGATTTGCTTCAAGATGGAAAACACAAACAAAGAAAAAAAATCGGAGCATTTATATTCAGAGCACATTGTCACGTCAAGCACCCCTCTGTTTACTCAACTCCTTTGAATGATCAATGTGTTCCCCCGTTACACCTACCCCCTATATTTTTCTCCGGCACTGTCAAAATCCATTTTCCCCCACGCAGAGCCTCCACGAGTTTGTCCAGGACCATTCTTATTGATTACTTTTGTGGAATTCGGCCATAATGCTCCCGCTCAAAGCCATTTTCCCGAGATAGATCAGTCAATAATTCCTTATTGACGTCCTCATTACAAGCACGGGGGCGCTACCACGCAAAATACAAATTACCACAACAAAATCGTATGAATAGATGTGGAACTCAATTAACTGATATACTTAAAATGAGTGTCTCAACTTGGAAAAAAGATGGAAGTGGCCGCAACCAAGTTCGTCTGGGGCGGAATAAGGTCAAGCTTCAACGATCGATTGGTTGATAAGGAGATCTGGCCGACACTCGCAAATGAGTGTCAGTTAGTAAAAACCACGTTATCCAATGACTTCGGTTTCACGACCTAACACCTAGTAGTGCGCACACATTGGAACTGACGCGAATAGACTGATTTTCGTTTTCACAGACACCCAAGCTTACTGCGGCAATACAGAGCGAAGAAAAGTGCTTTGAGAAGTTTAACATGAATCCACCGGCATACTTGCTGCATTGCACCAAAAAAATAATTAATGTCGTTTTTACTGACGAAATTAAGATCGGTATCAGTCTGTGAAAACTAAAATGCAGAGAGTACGCGATAGAAGTGCCGGACCGGGTGCCAGCTCGTGAAAACAAAACTAACTTGGTTCTCGATTGTCAGTTCATGATGTTGGTGACGTTATTTACGGCTCCTGACTCCAAAGCCACAACCACAGGTGGGAACGTTTTGAGAAGTCACTATTATGCTCCAGGGGGTGTCATGCCGTTACTTTTTTTCAGGAGTGTGTATGAGGATAGTGCAATTACGGGTGTGAGTAAAGCAGCAGAGGAGTAACCATTAGTTACGAGGTTCATGCTGTTTCCGGCAAATTTACCATTCGTCATTCCAACTTTGTTCAGTTACTGACACACACGTACAGGACTACTACATAATGCTCTCATCATGGACGAACTAGAGTTGACCTTTAAAAATATAAAGACACCAATGCTCCAAAGGCTGAATTTGTTTCTCGTGAATTATATATGTTCATGGCCACCATCAAAAACAGTATGTATGTGGTCTGTACGTAGGCAAATTAAACTGTACTTTTCATTTCATGTAGAAAACAAAATGATAACACGCCAGCCAAATGTATTCATATATTCACATCTTTCAGAGACAGTCCGTTCAGTTCTTGTCCTTTGGATTGTTCAACCTTATCAATTTCTTGTCCCGCAATACACCGTGGCCATGAACGTAAATCCCGGGGGCATGGGGGTTATATATACCCCCATGAAGTGGGAGGGGCTATTGAATCATCCCCCCACTTTTTGTGGTGAGTTAAAAAAGTATAAGATTGTGAAGAATTTTTACCACTTCCGACTAAAATGCCTTCAATATCACTCAAAAAGGAAAACATTTTTAAAAAGCTGAATACGTATTACAGATGTACATTAATATCATGAACATAAACTTCCAAACAGAGCCATATGGCGTCCTCCCCGCTATACGAAGTTTCATCGCATTCCACATTGGTAGACAGAAATCCAACACTCCAACTATTGCGTTGTCTACCTGGGATCCAGTTACAGACATGGGCGGTTGCTATCGGACGATGTAAATTTGATGACATGGCAGAGTTTGATATACACAGAAACCTATTATGCGTTCATAATGAGATCTGTCATTTCAACTTTACATGATCTGTAATTCTGCTGACATATGCCCTTGAGGAGGGCACCCTTTTAAGCTTCATCATGTATTACTGAACGTATCCACACAATTAACTTATACCTGTAGTTTTACAAGTATAGCCTATTGAGAGTGCCCCTTTCACGTAAAATCACCCAGACCCAGGACTGCATCGACATAATACATGCCTATAACGCATCACTTTCTTTAAATGTAATGGCTTTAAATCCCAATGCAAGCTTGTGATATATCAATATTTGAAGAATGTACCTTTAAGGTCAATCATGTGACAATGGACCGCCTCTGCGTAAATATTGCTACTACAGGTATTTAATCTTTTAATGTAGGTGCATTACGCAATCACTCTTTCAAACTGAAGAATGCGCTCTCAATTTCCAAAAACCGAATGTCAGATCTGACAAGGATACACCAACATTGTACCTCATATCAATAAAGTGGCAATAAGGTGAAAATCCGCAAACTATTGAAAATGAAATGCTTAGATCATCCTATCATACATATGAATAAAATAAAACAAACAATAAAAGTTGTGTATTTCAAAATACATTGTCTTAAAAAGATACATACGACTTCTGCAGGCTTATCCAACCAGGGAAGTGACAAAGAATTCTTGGTCATTTTTTACATCAATCAATTTCGTAGTCTACCCTCCTGCAACGGTAGAGCTAAGTTAATTTGAAAGAAGATCACTCCTCAAAAGCGATAGGAAGCTGGGAGAACAAAAACACAAACACCGGAAACGATACCACAGCCGTGACGCATTTGCAAAGAAAATAGCTCTTGAACCCAGCTGTTGGCAGTACTACTACCACTCCTTGCACGGGGGTGAGGGGTCAAAAGCCGAGTGTGTTCTGTGGTCTGTACGATTCTTTCATTCGTAAAAAAGGGGTGGGTGTGCAAAATTGCAATAAATGATTGTGAAATTGAAGTGTTTCGTTATGAAATTACAGCCTTCCAATTTGCCGATATCAACAGGGATTGTTTAATCTCTGTTCGATCTCATCTGTCAGCCAACTATCCTTGTAATTGTAGAAATTGCGACGTATACTGTACATGTAGAGTGCCGAATGTGACGTCACTGTGTACCAGAAAGTGCAGAGCAAACGAAGGGAGTTTGCGCACTAGCACTTACATCTGGGCCGTGTAAACAGCGAGTTGTAATACGTATCACTTTTGATAGTAACAAACTGGAATGTATGCACGAGCGCATGCACACACCCAACCACACGTCGATTTTATACACAAAGTGTGGACATTCCTTTGTTGTCCTGTGGTTAAGGAAACTTGAGGAAAGTGCTCCTTTTTCTCAAACCAGGATAATCCCTTCCAGCTGGATGTTTGATGATGATTTCCTGGACTGTTTCTCTTCATTTTGCCACCGATAACCTTGACCCTAAAATGCCTCTGAAACTGTTTTTCAGAGAGAGCGAAACATTGTGTGCACGTGTGCGAGTCGGCACAACGCCATCACACCCTACTTTATGTGGAATTCTTTTGTTCAGGGGTCCTAATTAGGGAATAATGTGAGCTTAGTCAGTCTTAAATGTGCGTTGAAGCGGCTCGGCCATTTGTCGCATCCATTCCTGAGCCGGTCTAGAAACGTTAGTGTAAGACCGGCCAACCACGTATTTATTCCCATTCATCAATTCCTTGTTAGTCAGAGAGTCAACAAGTCCGTACGTGATGGCATTCTAACAATTTTATTCTCGAATTTTACTTTCATTTTCCCAAACACCCCGTCCATTTTATTGTATATTCCCTGTGCAAGTTGTCCAATAGAATTTCCTTATGTGGACTTAGCGCGAGTGGTGAGCCGCGTTGCACACAGACTCTTGACCAATCAGAAGCAATTAAACTGTCTCGTATCCAGGTGCAAGAGCGTAATTTACGCAGTGAGCATTATCACTTCTCAGCAGGCTTTATCAAATGTTAATACACGGTCAAGTGCACGTTGTTGAGAGTTGTAGGGAGACTGTCTGACGTATTTATGAATATTGCAAGGGAAGATCAAAATGATCTATTCAGTAAATTAACAAAATTCGGAATAGGGCTGTTTCTGAACCTGGAAGTATGTGGGGGTGGGGTGGAGGGAATCAGTAAGGTAGCCATTTTGTTTCTGTGAGTCCAGCATTTTGTGTATGGCTTTACTGAAGCAGCTGCGTGTTGGTGTGTATTGTTTACTAGGAGACGGCCAGGTTGTTGCCAGCGATGTTTGTAACCTTTAGGCTTACCAGAGGGGCTGAGGCTGGTTTGTTCCTCTTCAAAACAAGGAATACATCAAGTCGTGCAGGCCTCACGTGCAGCATCGGCCAAACCTTGGCCGAGCGTGCCGAGGATTAAGGGCAGTAACCAACCATGCAGTGAGATGGTTGCTTGGCACCAAAAATGGTGAGAATGTTTGAATATTTACCACGATTATTTCCCTGGTTCTTTGGGCTTACATTTGCAGAATGCATGGATAATAAAAATAAGGTTGAAAAACGGTCCTAAGTGCCCGAGAAAGTAGAGGGATGCCATTCGTAAAATGGCTGCATGCAAACTTCGGAGCTTTCACTTTTGAAGGGTGATTTTGTATAATTTGAATAAATAAGATGTATTTGGTTAACCGAAAAAATGGAAAGAAATGGACAGATTAAGAACAAAACAATAATTTAATTTTGTTTCAGAAACCTCCGAGATGTTGGTGTGTGTGTTACTGAGACCTGAACAATGCTGATTTTATACTGTTTTCAATGGGGCTTGAATTGACGGACTTCACCCTTATAGTAAACCACACATGCACTCAAGTGAACACCACAGGCAGTTTTGAATTGTAATTCATAAAACTAATACCTCAGACAGTCTCCATATTCAACAACGGCCAACTTGACTGCGTATTGACATTTGATAATTCCCGCTACGCGAAACACGCGCTGGTACCTGGACACGAGACAGTTTACTCCATCCTATTGGTCATGAGTCTGCGTGCGACACAACACGCAGAACGCGCCACGCGCACTCCAATCCATAAACAAGGAGATTTTATTGGACAACTTTCAAGAGGAATATACCATAAAATGGACATGGGGAAATAAAAGTAAAAGTTTAGAATGACATCGTTGGCGATCCATCACATGTTGACTTCGTTTGACTCTCTGCCTAACGTTTAAGACCTTGCTCAGTCAAGGAGAATGTACGAGGAACTGTAGATTCGTGCTAAGTAAGTAGCACTTTTGGTTAAGTAGCACCATTCCTAGTAACTTTCTGACAAAACGTGAACTTTGTAATAGCTCCTACTATTGGGGGGTGCAAAACGCTAACTTGATATTAGGTCACTAATACATCCCCAGGTCTTGACCTGTAATAAACCTTTTCGACGTTCGCAATGCATTCAAACAAGCAATGCATTTTATCCACAACCCTGTCGGGGAAGTGAACCAGTCAAAAATCAAGTTACAGTTTTCTACTAAATGTTTTTGATATATCTGCTTATCAACTCACAGATGCATGCGTAATATCAAATTATAAAAGAAACATTTTCAAATAGGTTTTCAGATTTTTGTAAGAACAAATCACCCTTAATTGCCTTTTTAAAGGGCACCAGTCACTCTACAGGCTGAAAATGAACGTGACTGGCCAAAGCGGGATAAATGAGCTGCAAGTCGTAATTTTGATTGGACAATACTAGAACATTAGTATTCACGAATTAGGCAAAGCTTGGTCGGTGACAAAAAGTGGCGTTGTTGGAAGGAATTCTCCGAATTTTCCTTCTCTGCCAAGTTTTAAACTTCGAAGTTTGTGAATATCTTCGTCCTAAAATCAATATTGCAACACTTTGTCAGAAGAGGAAGGCTTTAATTGGAGTATGAAATTAAATGGAAAGAGATTAACGTTTTGCAGGTACACTGCTCCCATAAGGTTGTGCGTAAAATGCATTGCATGTATGTCGTCCAAACCCACAATGCAATGCGAACGTTGAAAAGGTTTATTCTGCCTGAAGGTTGAGTTACAGCAGATTGTATACCCTATGGGGTAGGTTGTTACAATGTAACAACCTACCCCGTGTCACTGTAACAACCTTCCCCGTTACATTTTACATATGTTGAACTATATTTTGCGTATATTTTCAGCTGAAAATATTTCAATTGTCTGTTTTGCTTTACTTCCAGATTGAGCTACTGTAGTAATTATGCTAAGAACCTACAAAAGGAAGACAGGGGGGGGGGCAACAGCTTACAATGTCACGGAAGCTGCTGCTCAGCGTGTGTGTTGGAGCATGGTGATACTTATAGAGTTGCAGCTGCTGACTTTAATGTAAGAGTATCATTACCTCGGTTGTAATATAAATTAAGTTCTTTCAATTTAATTAACTGATACAAACGCTTCTGTAGAATGTACAGATGGAAGGAAAAGCCACCTGTGTGATGAATGCAAAATGATGGACACGGACAGTGGCTAAATTTTGGACAGTGATCCTTATTAATCCCGAAGAGGTATTTTAGCTATATTTCAGGTGTTTCTAATTAAAACAAAAGTTAAATTTATCGCTGGAATGAACAAGTAGTTCCTTTATTTATAAACACCTTAACTGACAATGCAGTTGCTTTCTTGGTAGTAGACTGAGGTGGTAACTGCTATTGTACAACAAAATGAGTGATATAAGTTATTTACATATTGTAACAACTTACCCCGTATGGTGTAACAACTTACCCGGTAAGTGGGGTAAGTTGTTACTAAAATTTACCTTCATTAATTAATGAGTAGATAATTAGTTGCTTTATGTTTTCATGTTTTGTATACTTCAAGTTATAGTAAACATAATGGGCTACCCACATACCCAAGAGGGAGTATTAGAGTTCTTTCATTACAATTATTTGGTGCAAAATGTTAATTTTGTAACGTTCATCCCCGGTCTCCCCTACCTATGAGGGCAGCTATGGTTATTATGTTTAGCCTACACCCCGGGGAGCTGAAATGGTTTTAGAGTCCAACGTGCATGGGCAGAGATTATTACACGCGTTTTCAGCTGCAGATACTGTGCGTCGTTTAGATGCGTTGATATTATTGTTGTTGGTGATGATGGTGTTGGTGTGATGTCCATCCTCAGATAAACATCTGAAAACAAAATATCAACGCTGGAGAGGTAGCCGTACAATGCTTGGCCATCGGTCATCTGGAATCAGTCTGGTCCATAGCAGGTGAAGCCCCAGCGACAAGACCGCGCAGAGGCCAGCAGCCGCTCCGAGTACGTAGAAGCAGCTACTGTAGCTCTTGGTGGTATCGTAAAGATGACCTGCATTTAGTGGGGAAGTAAAGGGCAAAACTTATTAAGGAACGAAAGGTAGGTAGAAGGAAGGTAGAATATGGATGACTCATAAGAGTGCGCCTCCAAGAGTTTGCAACGCGTTGTCCAATCAAATTGCGCGAAATCTGTCGACCAAAAGCGCGTTTGGAAAGGGTTGACAGATTTCACGCGTTGTGGTTGGCCAACGCCTTGCAAACTCTTGGATATATTGATTGATATAATTCATATGTTCATAATATGTTATAATATGCTTATTTATATAAACATATTTATTTAGAAAAAATTTCAAAGTTGTGCAGTTAACATAAGCTTATACAAAAGGCCCCTTGACATGTTACTTCAGCTTGATTTACCATACGGTTGTAAATGTAACAAAACAAAAACGGGCAGACATTGTGCTCTTGCTTCGTTGGAAACTGATATCAAGAGAATTTCAGATGCAATGCTATAGAAATAGGGCATGAAACTCTCGGCCCTTACCGCTTACAGATCCTGCCAGCATGTTGCCACTGGCAACCAACACTAGTGCGATACCAAATCCTCCAGGAAACCTTTCTTGTCCAACAATTCGACGCACCGTGATCCCTCCTAAAGGGATGTAGACCCCGGATGAGAAGCCATACAAAGCTGCATAGGCCACAAAGAAGGCATAGCTCTCTAGGACAGCGACGCCCATCGCAGAAATGCTGACCACTGCCTCGAAAAGACAATAGATGAATGCAAGTTCGGCAACATTAGCATTTACAAGGGGACCGCTAGCACAGCATCCAACAATATTGGCCACTCCAACCAAGGAGAGCAATACCTCGGCCTGCAGCCCAGGGATTCCGACCGACTCTGCACGAGCGACGAGGAAGAGCAGAGAGACGGCGTCTCCTACCGACGTGGGTATGGGTAGCAGAAGAAAACTAGCAAAAACCCGATTGGTCCAGATGAGTGACACACCAGTGCGATCCAGGAATTGTACGAGTTTCTCCATCCACTTCATGTCTTTGGCCAAATTATTGTCTTCATACTGAGCATTTACGCCACAACTTGATCTAGATTGATGCCAGGAGAGGCTATCTTTACTTTCACTGTCAACTTCTGTCTCGTCCTTGACAGAATCTGTCTCGCGGCTTAGTTGATTTTCAAGGCTACCGTAACCCTTCCCTCCACTGTCGACCAGATTTGCCGATGTTTGACCACAGGGAGTCGGCTTCATAAACTTGGCACACACCAAGATGTTGACTTGTATCGCACTGATGAGCAACAGAGCTCCCCTCCACCCGTAATGGTCGATCAAGAAGCCACTAACGACGGGTAAAGTCACCACCCCGACACTTCCTCCCGAGCAAGCAATCCCAAAAACCACAGAGAAATGTTTATGAAAAGAGTCGCTGATTATGGTCACAGCACTTGAGAAGCACATGCTACAACCAATGCCTATAGATCGTGGAAAATAAGAAATATTGATTGACAGCAATAACGAGATATCGGCGAATACTGATCAAAATGATAATAATCGATGTTGGAGTCTAACAGTTGATAGTGCAATGAGTGCGGAGGCGCAATTCAAAATTGTCCCACTCAACCCCTTTGCCAAATCCCATTTTTTCTCGCTAAGCTAATCAAGTTTTGCTTTCTTGTTCTTTATTTTCTTTTTAATGGTTTTCTTTGTGTACTTGATTCCAGTGAAAGATTCTAAAAACTAGAAATGTGCATGTTACTGTTCCGTGAGTCCATGTGCTCCCTTTCTCGAGGAAAGTGCAGATTCCATCAAAATACTATAGCGTGTATTTTTCTGGGTAGGCAGCCAGGGTGCGCCGCGCGCCATAGTCCATGTACAAACTCAAATCCAATGAAAATCAAGAGAGGGCGCCCTGCGAAAAGAGATTTGCTCGTGCGTGCTGTAATTGAAAAATTTGCATCGTGCAATTTATAAATAACTGTCTCAGCTTGCCGACCACCCAAAGTCCTAAAACTGGTGTGGTGATTATGTATGGTATTGTTTTCATATTCCCCCATGAGCAAAATTGGCCTTTTACCAAAAAAGCTTGCGGTATTTGAATTTCAGTTTCAAAAATGAAATCAGAAAATGCGAAATCTTTACTTTTTTCACCCAAACTCCAAAAATAGGTGGATACTCAATCTTCCCGCGCTTTAAGGTTACCTTTAAACCCCCCTCTACCGGCCCATACCAAGAAAAGAAACCTCGGCAGGGGTAGCCACTATGACAAACAAGATTTCAAAAAAGACTCAAAGATGACGTCACAGATATTCATGCTTTTTAGAAATTTTCTGATTTCGACCAAATAAACAAAATTTGGCAGAAAAATTTACGTTCTGTTTGAGGGTGGTAGTCTTGCCAACAACCCCGAAGTCACTTGGTCCAATCGGAGTTTGTCCCCGTTCATACGATAATCCAACTACCTAAAGGTCATCTCATGTATCTCGGAGCATGCAGTTTTGCTGCAATGGCGGTTTGCTACAGCTGGACAAACTTCATTAGCATAGCCAAATCGCTTGGATAGTTACTTCGTTTGAACTCTTGAGGCAATTTTGAACATTTCAGCTCTCTACTGGTACTAAAATGAAGTTTATTTGGAACTGGCCGGTATATTTTTAAACGTTTTATTTTTTCAGTGTTATCGCGCGAATTTTGTACGTAATTGAGTGATGCTGGCTGGATTGGGTTTTTAAAAATGGCGGCTGTGTCATGCTTGAGGCTTTCCTGAAATCTGCTTCGATTTCGTTGTTGTTGGCAGGACTTTCTAGGGATGGAAAAATGACATGTGCACTGTAGAAGGCGAGACCTACTCGTTTTAAGAGGACAGACATTCTATTCATTGAAGTGAACGTCATGGAAGGATGAAATTCAAGATTTTTATTGGTAGTGTGCTGCCCGTCCGTAGCTGTAGTGTACGCATGCCCAACCCTAAACTGATACTCTATTTAACTTGAGCAAGAGGAGTCTTACCATCAGTTTCAGTGTCTCTAACTTGAAAGTGTGCATGCTGTGGTAAGTCCTTGCATGTTAGTAATGTTGCATTGCTTTGATGTGGGCAAGTGGTCTTTGAAACGACCCTAGCATTGCGACCATGCCATTTCAGAACATAGCACATTTGAAGATCCATAACATGCCTAAGTGCAATAGCCGGTAGCACAGTTGCCTCACAAGCCTTATCAATTACTAGATATTTGTTTACATTTTTTCTAAAACTCCTTTAGTGCTTTGTTTTCTGCTTCAAGCATCTCTGTTTTGCTCTTCAAATCTTCCAAATCACAATTCTGGCGATTCTGCACATGTACTTCCTTTAATTAATTTTTCCAATGGTGCATTCGATTCTCTGTCGGGATATTCCTTTGGCACTTTTAACTGCACCAAAACCACGTTTGCAGTCTACACGACGCGCAAACGTTTGTGATTTGTTCGCCCTAAATTTGCTGATACAAGTTTTGCACGATGTACATGTACACAAAACCCTTCGAGCTCGTCTTGAAGTAGAAAAACAAGATTTGATATTTCCTTGAAAGTACCTAATGGATAAAACCTGCAACTAACTCCTGATCTGCAGATACAGCAGCATTTTCTAGGCACACGAGGCATTCTGAATCCTAAGTAAACCAGTAAAAACTGAATCGAAAGTCAAAGACGAAGAAGAGCTTCGACAGTCCGTGTAGTTCACTTCGATCACGAATAAGACAGATCCCCTGAACCTAACGTGCATTAATCAATTTGTTTATTTGACATCAAAACTCCAGGGATGTTAAATGTCCTTTTGAGTGCGGTAGAGGGCGCTATTTAAGATTGGACCTTGGCGGGCCGTGACAAGTGTCCGCCCAGAATCCTTATTTGCTGCCGAAAAAGTTTTGTGTGTGTATGCACAACGGGAACCATAAAACCCCAGTCTTGGAGCCCTGCTTCACACAACAGTATAAACCAAAACTAAAAGTCTTTTACCTGTCATGAATGGTATGGTGATGAACAGCACGTAGAATTCCCGACCAAAGGACGCGATGACAAGCCCCGTGAACGACAACAATGCTCCAGTCACTGCCACTTCCTGAACTCCAAAGTACTTCACAAGTGCTCCACCAATGGATGCTGAGAGGTGACAAGCAGTCAGCAAAAAAAGAAACATCAATTCTTTCTGGAAGGGGACCCTGCACCTTGTAATCTCTATTGGTGTTTTGCAATATCGACCCAAACGGTCAAAAATCTTCCAATTTTAAATGATTTATCACAAACTCAACGGGGTGGGCGTACTACTGTCCCCGTATAATTTTGGTGTATGCGTATATTTGTAGTTACACCTTATAATTTCGCCCAAAACAAAGAAAACTAAAAGAAATAAACAACACTAAAACACTACACCTCACATTATTTTCATTTGTTGAAAAAGAAACCCCACAACTTACAAAATAATAACAGGAAGGCATAGATAGAAGAAGATAGCCAGCCGACCAAAGCTGCACTCTGTGGAAACTCATGGAACCATTCTACGTAGAAGACACCAAGCGAACTTCCCAGTCCAAACGTCAAACCAATAGTGAGGAAGCAGGCTAGTGCCACGGGCCAATGACGAGCTTCAGAGTCCGTCCTGTACATGTCTGCGACTGAAAACAAAGTGACCACTTCAGTTTAGTGACGCAGTTTTCAGCTAGAACCATTTGACCTTCGACATATACACCACCAGTGTTGCATTCGAGACTTTGATGTCCGAGACCGAGACCAAGACCAAGACTGAGACCTACTCCTTCAAGACCAAGACCAGGACTTCGAGACCGAGACTTTTGTAGGTCGAGACCGAGACCGAGACTGAGACCACGATATCCGAGACTGAGAAGGAGACCAACCATAAACCAATGTTTATTTTTACCAAAATATACACAGGGAAAAACATATGGCAGTTCAGTTAAGTACAAAAGAAATAAAATGAAAACATTAGCATAAACACACACACAAATAGGTCAGATATTTGTTAAAGAATGTCTTAGTTCTTTTATCAGTGATACTGCTCAACTTTTACCCTGGTCTGGAAATTTTTAACCCGAGTGTCCCAAATGATATGATGTGAACATTAAAACAAATATCTATAGACTTTTTTGTAAGCAAAATACTGAAAAACAAATATCCAAAAAAGGTGCACCGTGACGAAACTACTAAAACAACACGTACCACATACAAGACAGAATGAAAGCACTTTCACACGTGCACACAATTCATAGCGTGCGCACACACCCAGACTGGTTCCCGTCCTGGCCCTACAATCAGCAGGAGACTACGTAGGGAACGGGAAGCAGTCTAGTGTGCGAATTCCGCTACTTCATTCCATCCCCATGGTGTCAAGCAGCATGGCTACTCTGGATTGGAAATGAAGTAACAATTTGGGACAAGGTTGCATCATGCTGCATTGACTAGTCTTTATTCCAGCATCGATTTCACCGTTTATTGCAAAATATGAACATTACTGTGTTGTATTTATATCGGAGGTTGAAGATTTGACTCGAGCGGAGGTAATTTTGCCTTTTGCAATCGCGTGCATGCATGGTAGCTAGATCTGGTCTCGAGAGGGAAACCCGAGAATATGGCATCCGAGACCGAGACCAAGACACAGACCGGCGCTTTCGAGACCGAGACCGGCCCTCCCTTTGACAGGGCGAGACCGAGACTGCAAAAAAGGGCTCGAGATGGTCTCGGGACCGAGACCAGATCTCGAGACCTACAACACTGTACACCGCTGATTGAATCAGTGGCATATACAGCAGGGGAGCTCAGAGGGGAGGTCACGCCACTGACAAAGTTTGCCTTTTTCCCCATCTTTCTCTTCATCTTTTTTTTTCCAGACAATAATCCTCCGGGCCATTTTTTCAACATGGCAAAATGTATAACTAGACAGCTCTCGTATGAATATCAACCCTGATCCTAAAGCTTGCCTACCAGGTTGGCATTATAATGGTGTAATCAAGTGTCAAATCATAGTCAATTAAGTTTGATATTTTTAATCTTTAAAAATGCATGTAAATTCAAGTTTGAAGTACCTCATCTTTCATTTTGTGACAACTGATGAGTAAATGAATTTTGGTGTTCATTTTTGTCCTGTATGTAAAACACACTGATTGACAGGATTCAACTTAAATAATGAAACTGCTTTTAACTGTGGTGATGACGCAAAGTGGATGCTATAACTGGCAAACGCCATTTTCTTCCATATACGTGTTTCGTCCAAAGCTAATGTTAGGCACATTCTTGTTGTAAATTGTATTACCTCCACCTGTTTTAAAAAACATAAGTGAAAATTCCGAATTCAAAGTAGCTTCAACAACTCTCCATGTGATGCTCTCAAATCGAGTGGAAAAGGAAAGGGTGCGTTTAAGCTGCAGTGAATATACTTATTTTGAGTAAAATGATTGCGGTTGCGCCATGTATCAATCTCTGTCTTGAGTATGTGTGGTTCTGAGAAGAACCGGGAATAACTCGACGTTTTGAACTGTGTACTCCGTCCGTCTTCGAAACGTCGAGTTATCCCCTGGTTCTTCTCAGAATCACACATACTCAAGAAAGAGATTGATACATGGTGAAACTGCAATCATTTTACTCATCTAGTTTCTTTCACTATGAAAACCTTCAAGTCTTATACTTATTTTGTAATTTATTCTTATGAAATGTAGGTTTTTTTATGTTATTTCTACAGGGCTGCTTTTCATCATTTCTGATGGCAACACAAGTCCTGAAAAAATCAATAATTTAATTTTAAAAAAAGTGTTTTTAATTAGGCTTAACGGCGTTTTTTCTGCACATGCCACACAAAGAACGAAACAGACCTAAAATTTACCCCAAATCAATAGACAATGCCCGTGATGACGGACCAGGATCGTAGCATTTGATTTTAAAAGCAGGGCAGAGAAAATGGAGAGCCGTGCAAATGTTACAAACTGACCTTGGCTTACAAAGGAGAGCCTATTACTTGGGCCTAGTGGATTATGGGACATTAGGGATTTAACAAATGGCACGGCAACAGCAGGCCTTTTCAGCTTTGATAATAAGTTAGTAATATCCTCTCGTTGTTATTGCCTCTGACACCCTAAAGCGATAAACCAAAGCACATGCTTATTTCTTGAAGTAACCGTACAGCATGGCAATACAACCACCAACAAATTTTCCCGAGGCACGTAGGCCTACCTGTCCAATTTCAGTACCATTTCGAATGGTCGCAGTAAACAGCACTGGCATGTACCACATCCAAAGAATTATTTAATATGGAGAAATGATGGCAACAAACCTTGTATTCCGCACAAAACTGGTGTTGATTACAGACTAGGGAGAGGCTTTCCTGTGCCTATCGGCGATAACACATTGTACTCTTTTAGCAAATGAGGATATTCTAATTCATAATCCGTGGTTTTACGAGCTTATGGCGCAATGTACAGGTTATTTTTATCGGCGCACCGCGGTCCCTCGGCCAGCGCGCCACACATGGGCACACTGCAGCCTCCCGCATCCCGCTGATATGCGGCATCGATATGCAGAGCTAATGCAGGACTGGTTCACGGCTGAACGCATTTTATCCCACAGAGCATGCCGCAGCTAGACTCCCAGCGCCCTGGTTGATGGCCTTACACAGATTTAAGTGAAGGAAATACGTCACACGGAAATACGTTTTAGCTAACGACGCGCAGAGCATTTTGGGTATATTTCTTCCATGCTCGCAAGTTTGCTTAGTGTGGCGGTTATCAATTTGATAGTTTATCTGTTTCTTCCTCAATGCTGAAAAAATTCTCACTACTCTCTATAACATGTAGTTCATCCAAAATTGATCAAGATAATCAACGCCTTGAAATATATCGCCAAAAGAAACGTAATCAGTGATACTTGGAGAGAAGATAAGTTATCGTAATTGTATCAAGGCCATGTTTTTACATAAGCTGACACTTTCCACCAAAGCATTGATCTTGGTTAACCAAAAACTTAAAATAAAGCTCCGCTGACTGGATGTGATAACCTCGTGGTCAGAGGTCGTACACGAAGTAACCAATCACAGTCCAAAGGTATCAGGCCTTCCCAGCACCCTGTTCGGGCGCTGGGGATGAGCAAATACCGCGAGACGCTGCCACTGATATGCCTTGCATCCCTCGAAAGGAATCGTCACGTTCCAAAAACGTTGCAACAAAGATGCAAAGAACTGTTTTTTTTTTGGGGGGGTGGATGTTCGCAATAAAAATAATGATCACGCGATAGGGCAGGGAAATAACAAAAACCACAAGTGGTAAATATGTTAAGATGGGACGGATTAATATTTTGACGGATTGGATGCTCGTAAGGAAGCTTAGAGTGACCATCTGCGTGTCCGCGTTTCCAAGATAAATTATCACGGAAAGATTGAATATCCCGACATTCGGGATGTGTTTCCCAGATGGTATGACTGGAAAAGAGGAAATTCTTTTACAGGTAAATTATCACCTTCTATTCATTTTCATTTTTAATGTTACACATCATCACAATCCCCAGATTATAATTTCTGGTTGAATTTCCTTATTTTAAAGGTATTTTCTTTCTCACACATTCATGAAGATTAGTCATTGTCGGAAATGAAATGTATCCTTTATAGATTCTCTATCCAAGAGGGACCAGTATAAGGCTTTGTCCAGCCATCCAGTATTTAGAGTAATCAATGTCCTTACCAACATCACGAATACTATTTGTTTCATTTTGTAGTATTCTTAATTTAGTTGGATTCTAGAAAGGTTCTGAATCAAAGATGGCCGATCCAGCGAAAAATTCGGCAGGAATGTATGCTTAATTTGCATATTCATAAAGTTGTAATTTCTTCTTGCTATAATCTGAATAGTTTTGCGAAGTAGTTTTGCTCTAAACACCTCAGTTGAATGTAATTATTTTGTAAAAACGTTTGGAATCTTCATTATCTGTTCTCTGTTCTTTTACAGTTGGAGGCAGCAATTAAATAATTCCTGAGAGCGATCCTTTGATTTGAGGGTGCGACATAATAATTATGTGATGGGGCGGGGAATAAAAAAATGAAACCACGTGTGGTTCAGGTTTGGATAAAGAAATGCTAATTTGGAAAGGGTGAATAATTTGGCTGGTTTGATGCTCGGAATGAAAATAATGATTACGCGCTTGGTGGGGAAAAGTTAAAACCTCACCTGATCCAGGTTTTTGAGACTTTGGTGAGTTGGATGTTCGGGATGAAAACAATAGCGACCATGGGGAGGGAAAAATAAAAACTACACGTGATCCTGGTTTGATCGAGAAACGCTGAGATGTGAAGGATGTATATTTGGCCGGGTTGGGTTGTGCATTCCAAGACAAGTACTGTTTGAAAGGTGAAATGTAAGCTTTTAGCAGAAAATTCTATTTAGCAGAGCTAATGCATAACCTTAACATAGCTTATATGAACGAGGGATATCCATGAAATTAGACCATAAAGTCCCCCAAAACAGTTCCTAACAACTCTATGCGTGAAGAAATAAAGAGAAATTTAAAGTAGATGCATGAATGAGACTGTAAAATGTCTATCCCTTATGTTACTTTCTATTGAGAAAAACTATTTATTACTATCATACATTCCTTCTTCAATGAAAGAAGGCATTGAAGCGGGGTCGTATTTTTGCAAAATTCTTTGGAGAAAAAATTCCAAGCCCCAGAGAGTAGTATCTATTAATGTCCATCCTATATGAGAAACTCCTTTCATCTGATAATTCTTAATAACAGAATCAAATGCTTAAATACTACAAATATGGACTCAGTTTAGTTCACTCAGTTCACCTATTGGTGAACTTATATGACACCACAACATAGAGGAGGGAATCGATAAAATGAGACCAAGAAGTCCCTCAAAACCGTTTCAAATAACCCTTTGCCCGAACAGGTTAAGATAAATCTAATGAAGATGCAAGGATGAGACTGTAAAATGCTTATTACTCTTGTATTGTACAGATATTAATACTCAGATGAAAGAAGTCTTTGAAGCGAGATCATGCTACAGCAAACAGTTTTTATATAAAAAGTCTTCACAACCCACCCCAAGTAACAGATTTTTATGTCCATCCTATTTGAGAAAACACATTCCTATCTGACAACTCTTGAAGATAAAATCACATAACACCAGACTTGGTTCAGTTGACTTTGAACTCATTTGGACTCTTGTCTAACGTTGGAGAGTTGGCTGTCTAATGGTCGGCCATCGGTCATCTGGAACCAGTCTGGTCCACAGCAAGTGAAGCCCCAGCAACAGGACCAC